GTTGTTTCTCTTTTCTTTCTTCTAGTCAGATATTCTGCCCTCCATTCTACCATCACTATTTGATGCCTAACAATGTGCGAGCGCGACATCCGCGGGGCACTAGCATTCAACCGTCCCCGGTTGATGGTATATTCTTTTTAGGCTACGTGATTCCATGATTTCAAAAAAAAGAAACTTGGAAGTGCTAATGAATGTTAAAAAGATTGTTGAATCGTGATACCAAAGGCATGTCCATAGAAACTCAAAAGGGAAGAAAGGATAGACTGTAAGAATGTTTATGGAGCATACCGTAAAACAAGATTAGGCATGACGAAAGCGACGAAATATCTGAGCCCCTGCTCCTCCTAATGCCCGCCTGGTGATTTCCTCCACATCCTCAGTAGATGTTACTTCTCGTTCACGATCGGCAATAAAAAGAGCACGAATGTACTCGCCAAAGTTATGATACAGAGCGTATCCCATGGGAGAGGGTGAGTTGACCCGATGAGTAGAGGCGATAACGACGATCTGCTTGCCACTTGCTTTTCCTGAAAAGACCACAATCCTATCATCCCTCCAGATTCTCTGCCCCAGGACAATTGACTGATAGTCAAATACTCCGTTTTCCTTCTTTTCGATAACGTCAATCGACACTCCTTCCTCCAACCATACTCCATCTCGCTCTGTAATCACCGTTACTCCCATCATTATTCCTCCTGCCTGCATTGGTGGCATCCGAATTCCAGGCTCCACGGGGGTAATTGCTATGGTACCAGGCACATTAACTGGTGTTTCTGGAACAGTGATGGATGGTGCGAGTAATGCGAGGTCGACACGGTGTATAGGTTCAGATAAAATAGATGAGAATGAGCGTGGGGGAGGAAATACTGATGCAACATCAATCAAATCCGGCCGTGGGTGAGATGGAACTATAAGTGGCTGGAAGTCCACTGGTGGCTGAGGAAAGATGGTGCTCCGCTTGCGGAATAATGATCGAGGGAGAGTATTCCACCACGACAACTGATCACTGTGGTTAGTCGACATGATGGTTGATACTTGACACGCTTAGTTAGCCTTAATATATTCCCATAGATTATGCTCCCTTCTTGTAATTTGTCCATAGCCAAGCTTTTGAACCCTTAAAGCCGCGACCGCTCTAGATTTTCCGGTATCAACCTTGTGTCGCCACCACATATGCTCCTAAATGCTGAAACCGTCAGCTGTATCTTCATAAGTTCCTGAGTAAAAGTAAACTGATAATAAAATGACAAAAAGCAAAAGTGGTATGAAAATTGTCTGCTCCCCATAGTTATAGTAGAAGAGATTTAAGAGAAATAAGAAAGATTATCTGTTATACTGCCATTCCTTGGTCTCCTTCTCGTCACGCTGAAGTCTGGAAATGAACGCAGTGTGCTCAAATGAGCTGTCAGCTATCTCGCCAAGCCTTGGCACAAACTGTAAGTAAGGACGAGCAAAAAATAGGGTAATGTCTGGCATTCTGAACGAATAAGTGAGGATGCCCATAACATCTGCTGCTACGCTAGGCACCAGAATATGGTCTGCCCACCAGTTAACTTTTCCTGGTTCTTCGCTCCGCACTGATCCTCTAAACAAGCTCACCATCGGGTCTGTTCCCAGATACTGCTGAATATTCACCTCCATCCATGCATCCTCTTCTTCACATCTGGTCAGCAACTGCTTCCCTTCCCATACCGCATCCAGTCCTGCTTTCTCCAAAATCCATACCTTCTTTTCTATCCTTAATCCTCCAGGCACATTGAACAGATTAATCAATCCACGCGTTAAGGTGGGTGCCGCTGAACATAGAGTTGATGGGTCCCCTTCCATGTGCTCCATGATACAGATCGTCCCTGTCGTCGAGCTCTGTCCGGTAGTTACCGGTATAGCGCTATAGGGATAGATATTGATTCCCTGACCAATCTTAAGTAAAGGTTTCATGGCAGATGAGGTAGACGACGTGTTACTGAGGGTGAAGATGATGGCGAGTGGAATGAGGAACTTTGTTTTACAACTTCCCTGTTTCTTTCCCCGTTCATTCCTATGTGCGCTTGTGTGTCCTGATTTTCCGAGCTTCCTTTTTTAATTCCTTGGCATCAGGCTCATGTTAATCCACGTCTTCTTTATCACCGTTCTTCCAGCTTCTTTTCTATTTTTAGTCTTCTTCTTCTGAGCTGCTGTCTTTAGGTTCGGTGCTCCCTCCTCTGTATCTAGACTGCATGATTCTTTGCGCCTTCCTATCTCTGGCAATATATGGTAGAATCCTAAATGCTGCATATTTTTCCCTCATAATTTCCCCGCTTAATTCGCTAAGAATGTAGGCACCGCCTTGATTACGTCGTACTATTTGATAAGGCCCTCTGTATCTTGGCTTGGCCTTCCTGTCTAGACTCTTTTCTATTTCTGTGTGTCGCACCAAAACCAAGTCACCCGGATCAAATGGTCCAAATTGCATCCGCTTTTGGAACTTCTTCTCAAACTTCTCTTTTGATCTGATCCTAAACTTTGTCAGCTGGGCTGCTGCTCTATCCAAATCTGTCTGCCGCTTCTGGATTTGCCGCATCCTCAAAGTTAAAAGATCTGCTCTTGACATACCACTTTTGAAGCCTTTCACCAAAAATGTAGATTCTGTTAAGTCAAAGGGCAGAACTGGGTGAACCCCATGTAAAAGATAGTATGGCGAGAATCCTGTGACTTTGCTGATTGTGATCTTATCAGCAAAGAATGCTTCTTGTACCTTTTCTGGCCACTTCGCAATGTTTCCTTCGCAGGCCTTGACAATTGATTCTCTGATAATAAAGTGCCCTCTTTCAACGACTCCATTGGCTTTAGAGTTATAGGGTGAGATAGTGATTTGAGGGATTCCCATTCGTTCCAAAAGAAGCTTGAATGCTCCTTTGACTTCTGATCCATTATCTGTGACGACTTCGCCGACTGCTCCATAACGACAATAGATTTGTTCCCAGAAGAATTTCATCAGTGTCTTAGAGTCTGCCCTACGCAAGGCCCGTCCTTCTGAGGCTCTAGATAAATCGTCTCTGGCTGCTACAATATATCTGTATCCTTTAGCAAGCGGCATGAGCATTATGTCAACATAAATCTTACTCCAGACCGTACTAGGTGTCGATATTGTCAAGGGCACTTCAACTCTTCTAGTGCTTCTGATTTGGCATTCATGACAAGATCGCACATGGTGACGCACGTCATTGAACATATGCGGCCAAAAGAACCTGATCCGGATAGTTTCAAACACTGCTTGTTCTCCTCTGTGCCCTAATCCTTCATGCGCTCTTGTCAGAATATCTAACCGTTGATTTTTGTCAAAGATAACTTTTAAGGGTGGCTTATCTCCATTCCTTTTGAACATATTGCTTTTCTGAATAAAAAATTTGGTAGCTTTCTGTATAAACCTCCTATCGTCTTGGGTGGATTTAACATATTCCGGATATTGAAGTGTCTGCAGAAATTTGAATATGTCCTGTAGATTCTTTTCCTGAGAGATAGCTGCTGCAAATGTAGATGGAAGGTCTTCTACTTGATAGCTTCTTGTCTTTTGAATGGCTCCTGTTGGGTATTCTTTCCCTACTCCGCCGACATGATAAGTAATAGACTCTAACCAGCTATCATCGTCGAATTCTGCTTCTTCATCTTCTCCTAACCTTCTTCTTGATAGGGCATCCTCCGCCTTGAACCTTTCTGCTGGAACATGGACCAGTGTGAAATCAAAGAGCAAGATTCCTTGAATCCATCTATTAATAGCTGCATTTGGTTGTAAGTCTGGCGAGTTTAACATCCCTTTGATGTATTTTGCATCCACCTCCACATAAAGATTCTTGACCCCTATGATGTATAGCCTATAGTGTCTGAGTGCTCTGTATAGTCCAAATAATTCCAGTTTGGGCTGAGAATATCTAGACTCAACTTCGCTCATTGGTAGCGATCCGTACCGAGCAGGTCTTCTTCTTCCTTGATCATCAAGCTGAGAGAGAATGAAACCTACAGCTACATAGCTGGAGTCAACTGATAAGATGATTGGATTTAATGACTCATAGTCAATTGGTCTGAGCGCTGGCGCTGAAGATACGAGTTGCTTGAGCATATTGAAAGCTTTTTCCCTCCTGTCATCCCAAATAAAATCTGTGTTCTTTCGCACAAGTTCTGTAAGCGGCCTAGCTATCTGTGAGTAATTTGGAATCCAAATCCTGACGGTACCGCATAGTCCTAGAAAGCCGCGCACTTCCTTCACTGTGGCCAGCGTTGGCCATTTAAGAATTTTCTCCACTTTCTTGTCTTCTGGTTTCCTCCCATCAGGAGTACACTTCTGTCCGACAATGACCACTTCCTTTCTGCAAATTTGGGCTTTGTTTGGTGAAAAGGTACCGCCCGCATGCTTCATTCGATGCATAATCCTATGAACATCAACTGCATGCTCCCAAATAAATCTCCTGATTCCTGGATTTTCTTTTAGAACTTCTGGGTTACCGTTCTCATCAGGATAGGTAGTTTCTGGTCCTGAAATCCCTAAATCATCTACAAAAATGTTTGCTTTATCAGGTATTTCGTCTTGCAGAATAAAAACCATGCTATTCTGAAATTCTGCAACCGAGTTGGTAAATCCCATTGGCATCGAAGTTAGCCTGAGAGCACCTAAAGGAGTCAAAAAGGCTGTCAGGTCCCTGCTATCTGTATGCACTTTTCTTCCGTCAAAACCCCAGAATAAATCAAAAACTGTAGTACAAGCTCTTGCCGCAAAAGGTTCTACAAAGTCATCGACAATTGGAGGAAGTCCTGCATCCCGAATAGTAACCTTGTTTAATGGCTGAAGATCATGAACAATCCTGAGTTTTCCATTCTTCTTCAAGACGCAGAACCATCTTGACCGATATGCCGATTGACTGTGTTCATACACTCCTGCCTTTATTTTGTCTTTGAGTAACTTGATAACCTTGTCCTTGATTCCTGGAGGAATGGGAATATTTTTATGAATCCATGGTGTATGAGGTTCAACTGGAATAATATATGGAGAGAAATATGATTCCTTGAAAGTCCCTCTCTGCTCTTCTTTGAATGCCAACGCCTCTTGATTTAACACCATAATATGTTGAAATAACTTGATTTCTTCTGGCCAAAGCCATCCTTCCTCATTAATAAGCAACATCTTCATTCCCTCCTCTGAAATCCTTTCTGTTGGCTTGAATTCCGGAGGATTAGGAGTCAAAACCGGCAGACTAAGCAAGGGATCTTCCGGGAATTGCCTCGTGACTCGGGCAAACTCCGGAAACGTTCCAGCCACTGGCTTCACCTTTTGATCGACTCGCTTATACATTGTACCCGAGAACTGATTCTCAGGGTGGCTCGGCATATTCCGATTTGCCGCCACTGCGTTCACGTGTGCCACTCGGACCGGTTCCGGCTCCTTGGACTGAGCTTTTGGTGAGCTTGATTTCTCGTCGACATAGCTGTAGACGCGTTCACATTGCTCTACAATATGCGGGCATCTCCAGACCCGTAAAAACCAAGCATACAAGCCTGCTGTAAATGAAAAATGAATGCCCTGTAGGCTCAAAAGAAGCGCGCCACCCAATCCGATCAACGCGAGCATAAATCGCCCATTCTCAAAACGTGCAGAATCGTTGTATCGTACACACAGACCGAATGCATAAGCCAAAAGCATCAAGCAGTCCACTATCATATCAGAATCATTGTAAGGAAGACACATACTGAAGCAGAAAGGAAGGCATAAAATGACTGAGCAGACAAAATATGGAAGTGCGACTGAGAAATTTCGAGATGTGCCCTCAATAGGTCCGAGCTGAATACTATGGTCCTCAGGAATTTGAACATATAGGAAACTCACATATGAGTGTAACCAAAATTCGATCAAGCATGAAGAAACAAGGTTTGGGTGATAGAAAAAATGAAACTCGGATGCTGCATGTAAAAAGAAAATAAGAACGAGGCATAGCATGAAATAACAGAACACTCGCACCCTAATCAATCTCACTAACCTCTGAAGAATTTTCCCCAGGGTATGCATACCAGGGATCCTCACGCAGGATGAGCGCGTGGACCTTCGCTTCTGCGCGCCGAAAGGAATTGTCGTAAAGATCTTGGTGAGTGCTGCGCTGTGGATCCGCGAGGTTGCTGTTGACTAGCCACCGTATAATGTCGTCATCTGCAAAATGGAGTCCTAGCAGCGTATGCAGAGCCTCAGCAAAATCCCACCTTCCAACGAGCCTGAAGTAATCGATGGTCGTCCTGAAGAATGCGCCCTCTTCCACCGTGAAGAGTGGGCTCCAGTCTCGTGGATGCACCAGCAAACTTGCAAAATCCGAGTGACTTCCAGGTGTATCAAGAAGATGGATAACACACGGGTGCTTTAATTCCCTCTGGACCTCTGAGTCCTTCTCTATTATTTCCTCCTCTGACGCCTCCTCCTCCCGTTCTTCAAAGTTCTTTTTTACTCGCAGGACCAAGCGCTGGATCCTTCTTCTCCAGAAGACAACCACTGCGATTGTTGCATGAGCTAGAGCCGGCAAGTACGAAGCGCCAGGGATAAAAGGAAAGATAGGGATGTTCGGCACCATATTAGGTGAGTAGCCGACAACCGTTTGATCCGCAAGTTCAAAGAAAGTAACGGGATGTGTGTGAGCGATGTCGGATAGGTACCCCGCATCAGGGAAACTGCTCGGTGCCTCGTCAAGCCTTGCTACCACTTCACCCGTACTGGCCACCTCAACAAAGCTTCCCCTACGGACGAACTGAGGCTGGTCGTCACCGGCTGAAAGCACTTCAGGTGCCGCTAATGAAGGGATAAACGCGGCCTGCCTTCCATACTGATCTCTCAAATCCACTGAAGCGTACTCCCCACGCGCCATAACAAACGCGGCTGCCTGCCTGTCGTCTGAGCTGTGAGTCCCTTCTTCTTCCCTCTGTCCTACTGATCTGTTTTCCAGGAATCCTTCCCTCGTCGCTACCGGCTCTCTCTGCATGCTAGCTGGTGCGCATTCCAAGAGCAAGACCGATGCCTCGCGAGAGTTGTTCGGAGCAGGAGTGGAGTTATAGGAGTCGACAAGCCGATGAAAAGGAGGCTCTGAGATTTCTGCCATGAGCAGTCCAGGATCAATGGTTCCATCGTTGAAAGGTCCGTCCCCCTGACCTATATTCTGACGCCTCTCGTCACCTTCCATCCAGTCTCCATCCCTTTCATTCAAAACCCTTCCTTCCCTTTCCCTTCTAATCACCTCGATCCTCTCAAGCAGCCTCTGAAAACGCACCGACCCTATCCCTTCATTTGCCTGTACTGACACTGGTCCAACCATAGGTCCTTCGCGCTCCTGGTCCTCAAGTTCGTTGTCTTCCGGTAACTGTAGAGTTGGAGCTGGTGAGTCGATTTCTATCGCTTCAATGACCGGAGGTGCGTGAATGCCTGTCGGCGCCGTATCATTACCCTGTAAGTGCGTTTCTTCTTCAGTAAGCTGTCCGCTCACAATTCTATTCACAGGATTTTCCGTATTGAAGAACAGTACCTGGCTTCGAAGCGTAGGGTACTCAACCCTTTCCGACACCCCTCCCGACAATCCAAAATACGTCTTGACGAACGAATGGCCGATCCGCAACGACAAAGGTTCCCCGGGATGCGAAGACAGCTGAGCAACATGTAGCATGATCGAGGAATGATAGGTATATCCATTCTCAATACCGGCATCAAGAGCGATAGAATAAGGTGAGGTCAAAATCTGGTCAGTGAGCTGGTGAGTACGCCGTAGGTATCCAATTTCCGTGAGCGCTTGCTGAATAGCCTGAAGCGCTGTCTGCCTCGCGCCTCCATCCCACGTTGGGAGCGGTAGGTTTGCGACCGTCTCAACGAGCGGTATGTAGTCAAGGCGTATCTCTGCGGTGCCAGACATAGTGGAAAGGGATGCTGGTACGTCCTCTTCTTTAGCTATCTTGTTACTTATACCTTTTGCTTTTATTTCTAGGTGTTTCTCTTCAATTCTCGCTCCTACGGTGACGCGTCCCTCCATCCGGTCCTGTGATACTTTCTTTTGTTCCTCTGCCCTTGCTAACTCTTTTTCTTCCTTTCCAGCCTTTTCTAGCTGATTCTCGCCCATACTCGACCCTTCTCGATCCGTTCTCGAGTTGTTATCACTCGGTGAGTCCCCTACTTCTATTCCCTTCCCTGCATCCACTTTATTGACTTGTCCTATCTTATTATTCCTGGCAGCTCCATTTATACCAGTGGTACTCACACTCGGGCCCCGACGCGGTCCCACAAAATACTGGTGTAAGATTTCGTCCGGATCACCTGGATCTTTGAACAAAAGGTAAGTACCATCTCGTAATTCGTCTAGAGCCACTAGATTAGTTTCTTGCCAGGCCCTACCAAGCAGGAGCTCAAACGACACATGCGGCGCCACAAATAAATCGGCACGCGTTTGAATATTCCCGCATCGAAGCGGAACATTTGCTAGCATTCCCGGTAAGTAACCTTCACCTCCGTTTGCATCTTTCATTGTTATCCCTCGTTTCATATTCATCGGCCAACGCGTAGCTCGTTGCCAAGCATCTTTACTGATTATGTTGATGTTCGAACCAGTGTCAAATATTCCTTCAAGAATTATGCCATTGATCTCAACTGGTATTTTGATCAATGGTCTATGCGACTGATCATCTGTCGATTCATTCTCCAAGGTATTTCTTTCCTTTCCTTTTGAATTTTCCTGTTGATCCCTTTTTGCCATCAGAGACTTTCCTTCTACCTCCGAAGATGTAACTGGCCGCAGATTTTTGGTAAGCAGATTAGCCAGTTCTTTTGACGAGCCTAAAATATCTCCGACAGGCAACTGAACTGGTGACCGCAAGATTTGTCCGAGCACTGCCATAGGGTCTACGATAGTGGAAATCACCGACTGCCGAGGTGTCCTCTTCTTAGCAGGATTTCTCTTGGTTTTGTCCTCTTTTGTAGTACCTTGTGTAGCATCTTCCATAATAAAATCGTCATCATTGTTGGGATCAAACCTCATTGGTTCTTCTATTGGTGTGATCTCCACCTTTCTACGCTTTGGCTCCATCACTCTTGGTGGTAGCACATTCTCAGGCATACTTGCCCGACTTCCTGATCCCTCAGTTTGTTGAGTTCTTCTTGCTCCATCACTATCGCGGTGCACTTTAATTGAAGGTAACTCTTCCTCCTCTTCTTCTTCTTCTTCCTTCCTTCCTCTTGTTTCTTCCCATTGCACTCCTCTTCTTTCAGGTTCCTTACCTTTCCATCTCTGAGGATGACCAACCTTTTCTCCAGGAATTCTAGTTACTTCGATCGGCCTAGGAATTTCTTCCTTTTCTTTCTGTTTCTCTTTAGCTTGAGATTTATTTCTGGGTGGTGGGTATACTCCGTCAAACTCCATTTTTCTTTTCTTGTGCAGAGTCTTCTCTGTCCTTTCGACTGGATATACATCCCATAAGCTGCCTTCTGTCTGCTGTACCATATAGATTTCATCCTCTGAACCTGCGTCTGAATCAGATTCTGAATCCAGATCTGAAGTGAACCTTGCTGTGTGATAGGAATGATGATTGGGTGTGCTTGAACCTCCATCAATGGTGATCAGATTACTTCTAGTTGATCGATTCCTTTCACGTTCAGCAGCTTGAATAATGAATTCCCCATTGAATCTTTGGATTCTTGCTCCATTTCCATGAGTAAGTCTTCCTCCATTATCCCTAGCAAGCATTCCATCCTTGATTAGTTCTGCAACTTTAGCACAGTTTGAAATTCCATGGCCCTTTTCACCACAGCCAAAGCAAATCATTTCAGAGATTGGTGGTCTAGCAGGTGGGAAATTTGGCTGAGAAATTCCTGACGTCATATGGGGTGGTGCTTCTCTAGCAGGAGCCCTACGATCTGGCAAGATTGATGGTGGAGGTGTATCTAATCTAGGAGCCCGCACGACTGCTGCAACTGTTGGATCAAGCTTTAATGCCCTATAATAGACTAAGCCATAGGTTGGATCATTGATATTCATCTTGCTCATTTGCTTGATGAGTTCTTCAATCTCGTCCTGTTGTTCACTCTGTCTTAGTTTCGCAGCAGAAGGAGGTGGTGTACCTCTTCTTTTTGGTCTGCGCTCTTCCCCACTTCTTGGTTCCTTCATGCGACTTTGATGCTCCCTCTCATATCTAACCTTCTTCCTACTTTCCTTCTTCTTCCTCTCTGCTTTGGCTTTCCTTGCCTCGACTACCCTGATATCCTCATCTGTGCTCTCTTCTGTTGAAGATTCTGAATCGCCAGACCAATCTGTTCCAAATTCATCACTGTCATCCGATTCCACATACTCGTCGAATTTTTCTCTCTGCAGAATTTTTTCCGCAATATCTGATACCTCCTTCATAAGATAGGGTTTAGAGTTATCCCTAGTGGGCTGAGATGCAAGCAGTCTTGCTTCAATCCTAGACCGCAGACCACGTCCAATACCTGCCCAGAAGTAAGTATTCAATTCATCTTCAGTAATCTTACCTTTTCCTTTTAACCATCCACCAATCTTGATATAATCTCTAGCATATCTCCACCATGCTGCTAGGTCTCCCATACGCTTGTACTTGGTCTTCTTCACAAACTCTGTAAGATCCTTCTTCTTGAAACGCTGAGTATAGAGAGCAGCATCATAGTACTTCTCTAGATCCTTCTTCAATGCATCCCACTGTCCATCAATAAATGACTTCAATCCTTCAATGAACTCAACAACACTTGTAGAGCAGTAGAGTCTAATAGTCTCGCACTTGTCTTGGTCTGAAGTGATGTCATGTTGTTGGCACAACCTTTCAAAGTGTCTGATAAACCTTGAGACTTCTCTGTAATCTCCAGTGAACTTCTTCGGTGCTTTCTTGTTTCCAACAAGAGGTAGGGTAAGAATGGATTCTGCGGTATTGATGATGGGGTTGGTAGGTGCTGTAGTGATGTTATGACCACCACCCATTGTGGGAGGTTGCAAGCCTTGAGACATGATGAATGTATTGATGACTGACTAGTGACCAAAGAATATTCGATAAAATAATAGTTTCTGTGTGAAAATACCTCAACGATGTGAAGGTATATAGCCTAGAATGTCGGCAACAATACCTCCCTCGCGGTGGGCTCCAATTATGTTGCGGAGAGGAATGGTTTCTCCCCTAGATACGATTGGGGTTTCCTGTTTTTCCGGATGTACCTAGTGTTCGTTTGATTGCTGTTCTAGATGATACCTTCTGGTGTTGGCACGATACACAGATGTTGGTCACAGTTATAGGCAACGATGAGAATATCCTGAGCTATTTAGCGAATTTCTGAAGTGATGCCGGACCACTAACAAAGACAATACTCCGTAAACGTTGAGAATAATGAGGAGAGGCTTGAGAACTTTGTGATTCAAGTTGCTGAGGTGCTACACAGATTGAAGGCGAGCTACTAGTTCGTCTAGTATCCCTACAAGTCTTGCAGCTTATCTCCAACTGATATCACTCAAAGAACTTATTGACTGGCACTGACTGACTGAGTAAAAGTAAGAGGGAGAGATGGTCTCTGCCTGAAGCAGGACAATCAGCCTTCTTATATACTATTTCAAGTGGGAATCTCCTTCCTAGTATATACAGGCTGAGTAGAGTCATTGTGAGTCACAAAGAATGCTGTAGAAATAAAAAGAATTAGGAGGAAAGCAGAGGAACAGAAAGGAAAGTAAAAGAAAGGCTCAGAATGTGGTAGAATATTCCTTCAGCTTCCTTCAGAATTGCTCAGAACCTTCCCCTCCTTTCAGCTTGGAATGCCCTAGACCTTGCCCCTTTCCTAAACATTCTCCATCCTTCCACTAAAGCTCCCTTCTATTCTACCAGATTCCACTGCTTTCTTTCCATTCCTTATTGTCTTGCCATGGTCTAGCCCTTTCTGAAATAGACCCTAGGCTCTGGAATCTGTCCCAAAAGCGAATTATAAGTATGAAAAGGGATAGGAAATCAAGTTTAAGTGGTAAAATACTCGAAAAATATGTAGAAAATCGGAATTAAATGTCCTGTCCCTTCCAGGTTGTTTCTCTTTTCTTTCTTCTAGTCAGATATTCTGCCCTCCATTCTACCATCACTATTTGATGCCTAACAATGTGCGAGCGCGACACCGGTGAGCTAGCATGAGAAGAAGAAGCAAGGTTTTTGTCTGAGGGTTGTCCAGGTTCATCTTCCACAAGTCTCAATGGTCCTGATAATGAGCATGGGTGTTCTCTAGGCACCAATACCCCATTTTTTACAGCTTTTCAGTATTCTTTGACCGTTTGGCATACTTAGGACCGACCGATCCCAATCCGTTTGGCAATCTCAGCCATTTGTCAGGTGCTGACTTTGCATTTAGACCTCTGCACAGTTGTTCAGAGCTGTTCATAGTTATCCTATGCATCTATCATCACTCTCAGTATTAGGGGCTCCCCATAGACTGTCGCGGCCGATCGCCAATTGGTTCAGTACACTTCACATGGTTGGCACATTCGGTCGGCTCCGGTGTCCTGAATCGGAGGTGGCCAAACACTCTGTTGACTCAGAACGGATCTGTCTTTCTATCTCTTATCGCCCTTATGCCTTTTGTTGACCTATCCTTCATTATCTTCAGAGCTCCCAAGTTTCTAAATGGTTTACCCATGTGGCATGTGGTTCTTATCTCCAGGTCCATGTGGACTCACCTTGGCAATCTCTCCACTTATTTAGACTTTAGAGTTATTGCTTCTTATCTTATAGTGTTTGCAACATCACTCCCTTATCTTCTTTACCTTTGATCACTCTTGGCACGCATTTCCAATTGCTCTATGCCTCTGCCAATCTCCTTATCTTGTACCTGTTCGGACTTATTATAAAAGAGCACCTATGGCATTGCAATACATCAGCTTTGGCTCCCCCCTTGTTCCAATTCCATTTGTGTGCTTATGTCCATAAGACTTTGAGCTATTGCCTTCCAACCCTCATTTGCATTTTGCCCCTTTGTTTGTGTTGTTGCATTTGATCGCAGTCCTCTGTTAGAGCCCTCGTCATCTTGCTCTCTCCCTCTCATCTAGTTTGTCATCCTCTGCCAGTGTCCAGTGTGGCCTTGCACCCATTCCCTCCCCTTTGCGTCCCGATCAAATCCCGATCAAACACCGACCAACCAACCAACCAACCAACTGACTAACTGACCAACCAACTGACCAACCAACTGACCAAATATTTTGATTTTGGAGTTGTTTGTTCGCCACACTCCAAACACTTTCAGTACGCTCCCTTGTTGGTTGTTGCACAGCTTATAGTTCCTTGCACACTAGAACCAGCTCCTGCACACTAGAACCAGCTCCTGCCTACCTACGCTTGTAGGGGTATTTCTTGGGTGTGTTTTGCACTCAGAGGCATCACTAGCATATCACCGATGAGGAGGGCTCAGCCAATGATGTTGTTAGAGGTAGAGGCAGACCGCACACATCTGAATCATCGTCGGATGCATATATGCCATCCTGGAAAGCGGTGTCATGTAAAGGTTCTATGTAAATGTTATTGAATGTATCACTTCATTGAGAGTGTGTGTTTGGAGTGAGAGAACATAAAAAAACTCACCCAGGGCTGCCAATTTGTTAGCTCAGTATCAGTGTCCTTGATCATGTCCCTGCATTGCATCCAGCTCCCCCAGGATCATAGATTCTTGGCATGTTTGCTTTGCAGGAATTGTTGTTGGTATTGCACGCATGTTCTGCTGATTCATTTGTTGAGCACAGATGTGTTGATAAATTGTGAAGCAGTGCTGGCAGAGAGAGGGGTTTTGTTTGTGGCATATTTCACAAGGGCAGTTTTGGAAGAGTGTGTTTGCATCCGTTCATGGCAAAGACATGGTTTCTGGAAAAAAAAAGGTGATGTTTTATTGAGGAATCAAGATTTACACCCTAGGAGGGAGTACGACTTGGAGAAATTTCGACACGTCCGTCGACGCGAAGGCATCACGTGCCAGCAGAAATAGATTGGTCATCTATCGAGCTGGATCGACTGGGGAATATTTGAGGAATATTCCCTCTCTGATATATTCGTGGAATATTCGTGGAATATTCCTTATATACCGGGTATATCCCATTGGGATATTTCAGGGCAATGTCCGGTGCTTGTCCTTCTTTGGCTATGCTTAGACTGATACAGATCTAGGTGCCTGCCGCATCGAGTCCTGAGGTACGCCTTCGAGATCGTTTCCTCAAAACCAACGTAGAACAACCAGAGTCTCCTGCGTAAAGTCTGTTATCATCAGGTGCATATCGCTTATGTTTCTTCACTTGGTTCACGCTCCTTCAACCTTGGTCGTCGACCTGCGGGGGTAATGGACCTGCATCGTCTCATATGATGCGGCAGAGGCGAGATGAATCATCATTTATTTATTAAACACGGTATCTGATGGCGCAGTTGGAGGGTCTCAAGAGGGTTGTAGATCATCTTATGATCAGCTGCGGTGAATCAAGCTTCAGATATCATAACAGGGACTTGGAAAGCTAGAGTTAAATACACTAGTCGAAAAGGGAATAATAATCACCCTTCAGAGCACGCAGAGAGTCAGGAAGAGCTGTTCATTCTATGAGAGTATGATCAGGAACACAGTGGATGAGTAACTCACCTTCGCTGCTGTCGCTGGTGGTCATATTAAACGCTCCGGATGCGAGTCTCATAGCCCACAGTTGCAATGATTCAGCGCCTTTTACAGGCTCCTCCAGCATCATTGCCAGTTCTTCGCCCTCCGCAAGAGAGAGATGGCGAAAAGCGAGGGGAAGAAAGTTGGTCCTCGCATGGTCGATGGAGTAGATCAGACCGCTCGAGTCGATGCGAAAGTTTCCCCAATGAAGGTCGTCGATGCAGAGCGAAAGCGGTATGCCGGCCTTCTCCGCAAAATCCACCCTCCATGGCCATCTTCTCGAGGCGAGAAGCTAGGGTAATTCATGTGAACACTTGGCCTGAAGAGTGCAGAGCACTACTCACAGCATTGATATGCTCCTCAAGGAGTTCGACCGAGCTATATGACACGGAGGATAGGGAACATGAGAACAGACAGTGCATGATAGGTCCTCCGTTGACTGGCCCCGGTGCCGATGTGGGACTAGGGATTCGTTGAAGATGTTTGACGGCTAGGGCAATTTTAGGAAAGTCGTCCCTGGTGCAATCTCGATCCCCGACGTGCTGCATCGCAATGTAGCCCACATTGTTGAGCCGGAACGCAAGATAAACAACCGGAACTCGCACGACGCTGTTATTGTCCTCGTTTACCTGCTTCGCGAGGAAATCCTGAGTGCGAGCCTCACTCATTCCCACTCCGCGACCCCACTTGACGACAGCAGCACCAGAGCCATCAGGCTGGTGTATGGTGATGTTCGAGGGGCCACCACCGTGTTTTAAGCATTCGAGTACTAGGTTCTCAGGAGATGGCAGCCATGCCGGAATACTGTCGTTCTTGAGAGTTAGCACTATAGACTCCGCCATCTGAAACAGAGAAGAACATCAGCTTTACGAATAACAAAATAATGAATGCATACTGATATAGAAATGTCTATTTCAAGAATAGATGCTAGCGGCTTCAAGATGAGTATGGAGGAATGGGGGATTGACAAGTGGAAGCGGATGAGGTTCTCGGGCTGCCCAGGCTCCTTCGCTTCCCTATGTATCCCGGCTGAGGACTGGCCGAGGACTGGCTGAGGTTAGCCGGGGACCGCATCCGGCGCCACGTCACGAGGCCTCACTTATCAGACACGCCTTCTAGTCTCCGTTGCTGACTAGTAACGCAGAAGATATGCGAGCCGCACGGTTGTTCCAAGCAGAGGTTAGTTCTACGACGCCACGCCAATGTATTCTACCAAGCAAGTAGGTGATGATGGAGCCGCACGATCGTTCCAAGCGGAGGCTGGTTCTACGACGCCACGCCGGGGTACTCTAACGAGCAGGTCGCAGGTAGGTCATGATGGAGCCGCACACTCGTTCCAACTAGAGGCTGGTTCTACGACGCCACGCCGGGGTATTCTAACAACTGAAGCAGGTAGGTAATGATGGAGCCGTACGATCGTTCCAAGCGGAGGCTAGTTCTACGACGCCACGCCAGGGTATTCTAACAAGCAGGTAGGTAATGATGGAGCCACACGGTCGTTCCAAGCAGAGGGTGGTTCTACGACGCCACGCCAAGGTATTCTAACAAGCAAGTAGGTGATGATGGAGCCGCACGATCGTTCCACGCGGAGGCTGGTTCTACGACGCACGCCGAGTGTTCTAACAAGAAGGCAGGTAACTGGTAGGTAATGATGGAGCCGCACGATTGTTCCAAGCAGAGACTGGTTCTACGACGCCACGCCAAGGTATTCTCAAAAGCGGGTAGGTAACTGGTAGGTAATGACGGAGCCGCACGATTGTTCTAAGAAGATATTGGTTCTACGACGCCACGCCGAGGTATTCTAACAAGCACGTGAGTTTTTGGCTGGAAACTATCGTCTCGCTCTATGTGACTTCCAAATCGACAGTATATAAATGAGGACTGCACCTTCGAGCACCATCAGACGATTCCTGATCTCTGCTACTGCACATATCGCTCCTGTAAATCTTTTCGTGAAACATTCCCAGGGTGAGATTGACTAGTCCTTGCATGCATAATGGTGCTCATCGCCTGGGTATTTTCTGTGCTCCCTGGATTTATCCTCTAGATGTCCCTCTTCGGTCGTTATTATCGCCAGGATCTCACCGACGAAGTCTTGTCGTTGGTCGTTCAGGGCGGAGTCATCCGTGTTGAAGTCATGAATGCGGGACCGATGGCCGGTCTCGGTCTTAGCGACGCTGACGCTGCTGACCGTGGTAAGATGAAGAACCATTGGAGGTTCGCCGCGGTACTCAAGGATGACAATGGTACCTCCTATGGCACCACCTTCGGGGTCGATCCCGAAAATCCCGCGAGCGTAACTTCTAGGCAAGCTCAGGGAGGTGGAAGCAGCAACGATGCCGCTAGCGTCTGATCTGACAACGACCATTTTGAATTCCACGAGGACGAACAAAACGCTGATTTCGTAAGAAGCAAAGAACCTCCCATGTTGAACAAGGACGTGGTGTGGAAGGACATTGACAGATCTGGTACCGCGGTCGTTCGTGCCTTCCCTATCATTCGTTCTGCAAGCGGTGTCCCCACTGGAAGCAAAGGCAAACCTCCCATGTGGAGCGACAAGGAGGATTTCGAGCATATAGTTTCTCTTGATAAATCTGGTGCTTCGATTGTTCATGCCCCTGCTGGTATTCGTTCTGCAAGCGGTGTTTACATCCGCCAACGTGCCGAGGGGACGCCCCAAGCAGGTATCTTCGGATTGAGAATCAGTGAATATTACACCCCCTCCGATAACACTTTCGCCGTTTTCCACATCCCTGTCACCATTGAGCGTTTGACTCTCGGCGAAATCTTGTTGACCTTTGAAGAACAGGGTATGTTCCCCTTCTTTTTCAGGAAGCTGGATTTTGCTATATTTGGATGCCGGGACTTCATGTGAGCGTTTCGAATCTCCGAGTAATAATACAGCATTGACATGATAATTCATGCGATTATTCCAGTTTCAACGCGGTTGCAAGGCTCATAGAGAAAGGCTACACGGACGGCTTCGTGAAGGAGGAAGAGAAGCACATTTTTGAACTCTTGAACTTCCGCTACTCCCGTGCCCGCGAAGATATCGTCGGTGCTATGACACTCAAATCGTCAACCAAAGCTCGCTATTTTGAGAGCGCTGTGGATCGGGCTGTCTGGCCCCAGGGTTTCATTGCTGCCGTGGATGACCGTGTCAAGTTCAACTAAGAATGCTTAGCTATGCCTCGACTCTGATTACGTTCTGAATGTTTGTGACATGAAATTCGCGATCCTAATATCGTCAGAAACCCTGTAACATGGTTTGTACTTACTCGCGAATTGTATGAGAATCAGCGCTTTTGTTGCCAGCAGCTCGATATTTCTATCACGGTTGTCTCTGATTTCACTGAAGAATATCGAAACGATCAACCTTTCTCAGCACCCTCTTCGCCGGTGTGACATACAGCGTGTCTCCGCTTGTTGCTTGCCCTCCCCGCACCCGCGTCCGTCGTGAGTTGTGAGTTGTGAGCCGTGCTGACTGAGTGCGCGGACAGGGTCGTGTTCGCGCTGTTCTGGCTGTCGATGCCGAGCCTGTCGAGCGCGCGCATCGGGCGGCCGCTCGCGATGACGCTGTGGCTGTTCACGCTCTCGACGGCGTGCCTCGGCTTCCAGATCCGGTAGACTGTCACCGCACTCGTCGACCACCGCACGTACCCGGGCGGTCGGGACGCGTGGCTCGCGGGGCATGGCGCGGACGCGAAGGACATGGTGCTGAACGTATTGTGGGTGCCGCACAGTATTCGTGTCCATGCCCGCGCGGACCTCGTCATCGTGAGTGTTTGGGTTTGGGTCGCGAAGGGTTGGGGGCTCATGTTTGGTTTTGTCGGGACAGATATATCGCTCGTATGTCATATTCAGCCACAAGCTAGCGGTCGTCATTCTGCCTATGATGTTCGTGGCTACAGTCAGTTAGTCCTCCTCTCTTCCAGATTTGATGCGAATCAAGGAGGTCGCTCACGGCGTGCCCCGCAATCACAGGCTCATTGTACCTCTACAACCTGACGCGCTCGTAGGACGCAGAGCACGAGATCGCAGACTTTGCGATCACGTACCGGACGAGGTCGCTCTCGCTGGACGTGATCCTGACCTTCCTAGTCATCGCGCGGCTGCTCTTCATCCGGCGCAAGGTCGGGAAGCTGCTGTCGTAGACCACAGGCGGGCGCTGGCTGGATAAGTCGGCGTCGCTCGAGACGGCGACGGCGTTGGTGTGGATATGCTTAGTAAGCGTAGAGAGCCCGCTGCAGTCCGACGAGGGCATCTCATCGTGAAGGAGGTGCTACCCTGCATGAGTGTGCATCTGCACGAGCTGCCCGTGGCATTCAGCCCGAAGTACAAGCCCAAAAATCTTAGCTTCATCTCGCGGCCGGGCGACCTGGGGAGGGGCGAGGTATGTGCAGTTTCATTGGACCTGGAGCGCACATCGGAGAGCGACAGCGTATCCGAGCGGGCTATCCCAGAGAGCAAGCTCGCATCCACTCTGGAGACTTACCTTACTTTCCACTCGCCACACCCGCCCTGTTCTTTCACCGACGCCAATCTGTGCACGGTCCTGCCTCGGTCGATAGGCCCGCAGCCCTAGTCGATTATTTCCTCGGGACTTCACCAGTCATGCCCCCCCAGCGCGCTGCAGCGCAACTCTGTGCGTCAGGAACGGCAGTTCAGTGCGACTTGCCTGATATTCTGTCGTCGAGCTAATTTTCATACTGTCGTAGGTATCGACGAGAAGTGCACCTGCAGATATTGTGCACACCTGAATCTCTAGGTTGCTATATACGTGGCCCCTAGGCGTTTGCCGTTGGAAAGCGGGTCCTAGGCAATGTGATAGAGTGTGAGATCATATTATGGCCATTATATGGACTTATAGTACTCATTCGCGTGAGTGTTCTAGGACCAGCTCAAGAAAAGAAATGCAGATATTGGGATTGATGAGCACACATGGGCGCCTGTGCAGCCTGCAATGTTCGTTTGCGGAGCATAGTGGAGGACCGTGAAGATCTAGCGAGGAAAGGGTGGGACATATCACGATAGTGAAGTTGTGGGTTATACTCAGAAAATGATGGATACTTACCCTTTCAAGGCAAGAATAGCCGAGGTCACTCACATGGTGGTTGGGTTGAAAAAAAGAGGGGCATTGTCGTTGAGAGTTGTTAAGCGTCGGGACACGGCAGTGGCCGGTGGGGCCGGGGAAGACCGGTGGCCCGACTCCCTTGCAAATGTTAGCAGCTGGCGGCAGACACTGCAGGCAGCTGCAGACAATGGCACACACATCGATAACTCTTCGTCTGCAGCGGTAAACTTGTCAATCACATCCATCTCCTGATCGTCAATTCCGACCGCGCGACGGAACGGAGCATCTGTCGGGCAGATTCACTAGGGTATGTTCAGCAGGAGCGCGATACTGGTCACTGTTACATGTTGCATGATGCGCTACACAATAATAGAACAATTTGCGATATACCAGGCTCTGCATCAGAAGAAAGCTGAGCAAGGATGAGAGAAGAATATCTATTTGTGTGTGTTGTGCGACGCGTTGTCCAGCTTGACGCTCTCCGTCACCATCATCAGTTCAGACAGTGAGGATGCATCGACTGGGCGGTGTCGGCCTCGCTGCCTTCGACCGACAACAGCAGTCCCAGCGGTCCTTCGCTGCGCTCTCCACCACCCTCTCCCAATCTCAGCTCGACAACCTCCACACCCAGCTCGCCCAGTTCCGCGCCGCGCTCACCCACTTCGCCACGCACCGCCGCGCGGACATCCGGCGTGACCCCCGCTTCCGCCATGCGTTCCAGCAGATGTGCGCGACGATCGGCGTCGACCCCCTCGCGGGCCCGCGGCGCGGCGGCTGGTGGGAGGAGGCGCTCGGACTCGGCGACTGGCAGAGCGAGCTCGGCGTGCAAATCGTCGACGTGTGCGTCAGCACGCGCGAGCGCAACGGCGGCATCATCGAGATGGGCGAGCTCGTCCGCCTCGTAAGTAGGCTGCGCGGCGTCGACGGCGGCGCGGTCTCTGAGGAGGACGTCGTGCGCAGCATCAAGTCGTTGCAGCTGCTCGGCGCAGGGTACGAGGTGATCGACTTCGGGGACGGGAGGAAGATGGTGCGGAGTGTGGTCAAGGAGCTCGATAAGGCTCAGATGGTCGTCCTTGCGCTCGCGCAGGAGCACGGTGGGCGGGTAGATGAGGATCTGCTGGTCTTGACGCAGGGATGGACACCGGAGCGTGCAAAGGCGACGTTAAGAAATATGCTTCTCCGAGATGGGACTTGTTGGGTGGATGATCAGGATGGTCCAGACGGAATGGGGCGTTCATACTGGGTTCCGTCCGCGATGCATTGGGACGAATGACACAATTTGCAGCAAGTCGCAGGTCAGTTTGATTCTTCGTTCATGAAGAGGCCGATCGGTATATTATATCCAGTTCAAATGTTGTAGCAGACATGTATTATTGTATCATTAGCCTCCGCACATGCTATACATCAATCATGGACGATTTCTCTCTAAATAGTCCAATTTGCCTATTCAGCAGAGACCAGTAGACTATAAACTTCGATCACTTCACTGAAGGTGTGAGACGCCCCATAGACTTCGTCACCGGAACGGTGAATGGCTACATGCAAAATGCTTGACGTCTCCGATGGCTGCGAGGGTCGGTTCTTCGCCTTCTCGATCTTTTGATCTTATGAACTATATAATAGTATTCGTGACCGGCATCATCCCTCTTAAGAGGCTACATACTCTCGAGTGAAATGGGAGGGAGGAGGCGCGAGCGCCCCCGCCGTGCCATTAGGGTCACCAGAGGTGAGACGAGTCGTCAGCTATGACGCAGTCGGAGGGTCTCAAGAGAATTTCAGACGATATCATGATTAGCTGCCGTGAATCAAGCTTCAGACATCAAAACAGTGACTTGGAACGGTTTCAGAGCTAAATTGTTCTAGTCGAAAAGGGAATAATAAACACCCTCCAGTTCACGCAGAAAATCAGGAAGAGCTGATCATTTCATAGGCGTGAAGACGAGGACAAAGTAGACGAGTAACTCACCTTTGCTGCTGCCGCTGGTGGTCATATTAAACGCTCCGGATGCGAGTCTCATAGCCCACAGTTGCAATGATTCAGCGCCTTTTACAGGCTCCTCCAGCATCATTGCCAGTTCTTCGCCCTCCGCAAGAGAGAGATGGCGAAAAGCGAGGGGAAGAAAGTTGGTCCTCGCATGGTCGATGGAGTAGATCAGACCGCTCGAGTCGATGCGAAAGTTTCCCCAATGAAGGTCGTCGATGCAGAGCGAAAGCGGTATGCCGGCCTTCTCCGCAAAATCCACCCTCCATGGCCATCTTCTCGAGGCGAGAAGCTAGGGTAATTCATGTGAACACTTGGCCTGAAGAGTGCAGAGCACTACTCACAGCATTGATATGCTCCTCAAGGAGTTCGACCGAGCTATATGACACGGAGGATAGGGAACATGAGAACAGACAGTGCATGATAGGTCCTCCGTTGACTGGCCCCGGTGCCGATGTGGGACTAGGGATTCGTTGAAGATGTTTGACGGCTAGGGCAATTTTAGGAAAGTCGTCCCTGGTGCAATCTCGATCCCCGACGTGCTGCATCGCAATGTAGCCCACATTGTTGAGCCGGAACGCAAGATAAACAACCGGAACTCGCACGACGCTGTTATTGTCCTCGTTTACCTGCTTCGCGAGGAAATCCTGAGTGCGAGCCTCACTCATTCCCACTCCGCGACCCCACTTGACGACAGCAGCACCAGAGCCATCAGGCTGGTGTATGGTGATGTTCGAGGGGCCACCACCGTGTTTTAAGCATTCGAGTACTAGGTTCTCAGGAGATGGCAGCCATGCCGGAATACTGTCGTTCTCCAGAGCTAACACTATCGACTCCGCCATCTAGTCAAGAAAACACAGAAAATTAGCCATTCGAAGAATCAAATAATGAATTGCTGAGACGAACGGTTCCGGGCTTGTACCCTGAGTTTCGTAATGTTGCTAGCGGTGTGCCCACGATCCGTGTCGCAACGCGACGGTCAAGTCGGGGACAAGCGACGCATCTGATTGCAATGCAAGATCCTCATCGACGTCGCACGAGGATGTCAAGGCCTTCATCGATATGATCATGTGCCAGAACATTCGACACCTCGCCATGTCATGTCCTTTGCCGCCATTATCGAGTGAACTCACAACTGAGGAGGGTCCAGAGGGCTGTTTGCGTTAGTTTGTAGCCGATCAGTGCTCCTGCCTTTGCCATGACGCTTTTCGTGCACGACATTTAACTGAACGTTCTTTCGTGTTTCTGTATTATCTTTAGAACGACCCTGACCGTCTTTCGGCCTCCAAACTTGATGTGTTGAGTTAATCCCTGATTTAGGCTCCCTTTCATCTATCATGTCACCTCGAGAATCACTCACTATCTCGACTCTCGAAACCTCCATCCGCCTTAGATCCTATGCTGGTATCTTACATCGACTGCTTGTCGTCAAGATTCTTCTCGGAGATACACATTGAAGGATATACTGCGACTTCATGTCCGCAAATTACCTGTTATTGCCGGCAAGCGGGCTTACGGCGACGGTGACATCAGGAGTCCGTATAGTAGCTAAAACAGCCTGTACAGCAGCACTAGAGCACTAGAGCCCAAAAGGAACTGCCGGAATTGGCAGAGTCCACTAGTCATGATTTCGGACTAGTGATGTCTTGAGAGTCATCCCTAGATGCAATCAATATCACACCTGCTCGTTTCGGATTTCACTTCTAAAGATGTCTTGAGAGTTAACTGTTTTCTGGCCACTCTCAAGAGCTATCATATAGAAAACCTTCCCAAAGCATACTCTAGGCAGACTTACTTGTCTAGAGAGCCTTTACAGACAACACCGGCTGAATCCAGATAAGAATTCCCATCCAACTAATCAATCAGCTCATTGCTCCGATAATCATTGTATCAAAATCAGGTTATAACATTGCTATCAATATGGATTTGCAGGCTCTTGTAGGTCTTACTGCTCTAGGGAGCGAGTGACAAAGTAGCAAAGGAGGGTAAACTATAAGGACAGTATAGGAAAGCAAGACGAGACAAAAGTAAGCAAAATGCGAAATAAACATGGAATTGTAGAAGAGTAGTGGCTTAGTCAAGATCAATGGATACCGTGGATTCATTGCCGTTGTCATTGTCATTATTTGGTGCAGACATCTGCATCCTATGCAAAAAGTCAGAAATGGTCAAGACAAGACATTGTTACTTACATCCCACATTGCTTCCACTCAAGACACATATTTTGAAAGAATTGTCGAGTGTGTTCTTGCGACATGATGGCATCCAAAGAAGTTGCCAGCTTTGTGTACTTTGGACCATATTATTTGGCCTCAAAAGGCACACATGTAAACCAGCCATTGTCAAGCCACTCTTGAAAAGCATTGCGAAGCTATAGAAAAATCACAAACGGTCACAAAAAACGTGGAACATAAGACTTGCATGACCATACCACGGTGGCAATCAACACAATAGCCTTGGGTGGTACCCCATCTTTGAAAACATCAGGGAAGACCCTTCTGAGGCCCATCGAGCATCCCGTCTTGAAGAGAACTGCAGTACAAGTGTCTCGAAGAAGAATTCTAGAAAAATTAGTGCAGCGGCCCTAGACAAAAGCAAGGACTATAGCAAACCAATTTCAGAGATTAGAAGATGAACGAAAGACCATTGCGTTAGGTGGGCCTTGTAAGAACTTGTACTGTTTAACAAGATCACCACCTCCTTTTTCATGAGCATTGTGTACGCAGTGTGGCTGACCCTCGAATCAGTCAGTGCTGGTATATAATGATTTTGGACCTAAATGCGTGCGGCCTGCTTGATTTCTCCATGGAAAGTAGATCCTTCTTGGTAAACCTTTGATATCATTAGTGCACGTTCACGGGCTTATATATTATTTACTAATTTGATAACATCCACAGATATCTGGGCATCTGTTGAGGCAAGGGAAGGTCATCATCAATCACCCTTTGTAATATCACAGCGACACTCACCGTCTTTGATCACAGACTGATTGTTCCTCTGCTCATACTCCTTGACAGTGGCGGAGATGCAGGCGCATGCATTGTTGAGGCCGTCTTTGTATGTAGGAAATGCATTGCAAGTTAACAATGTCAGACAGTGCAGGAGTTTGGCATGGCGGACAATAGACTGCCAGACCGGCAAAAAGTCTTCTAGTTGCACTTTCGAATTAGATTCCAAAGTCACATCCACACCATTCTCAGCGGTGCGTTGATGCTTCATCTTCCAACTCCTTCTATGATGCTTTCCTGATGTTAGGGAACAAGTGGCTTGAGCCAATGAACCGGGCCCTTGCTGATGAGAGCCAGTTACTACCGGTATGGCAATGCCATTAGCCGTGATTGATGCCTAGAGTACCTGAGGGTTAGGAGCTCTTGGAGCCAAATTCCATTGCCAATGATCAGCGAGCACATTGGAAGCAAGGCCATTCATCTTTGGACACCCAAACATCATTAAATGATCATTATAATAAGAAGTTGAACATACCTCCATTCTGTGCAGGCTAGCATTGTCGTCATGTTGCATATCAGGATGTTGAATAGAGGAAGTTTGCTGTATACACACAGGTCAATAAAAAGAATCAACAAGCAGTGAAAATGTATAGGAATTGCAGTGGTACGTGGTTCCCGGCTGTTGGCGGTACTGTGTTGCTGCTCCTTGTACTCAGGGGCCTAGCAAGATTACTATAGATAAGGGTAGCTTCAATTGATGTCTATGTATGGGAAGGACATGGGTGTTGTTGATACCCCAAGATTGGTGCTCTTCTTCGTTGCCTTTGTAGTCCTCTTCATTATCTTTGGATCCTTCGTCACTTTCATCCTCTTCATTATCATCGTCCTCGTTGTCTTTATATGGATGCTCAGAGCCGGATGTAGTGCTTGCTGGCTGAAAGACATGAGGCATGGGAGAGGCATGCGGCGCTTCACCTGCTAGACTGATGTTTGTTACGGTGAGGTGTGATGGTGATGCTGTTCTACTTTAATGCTAAATGGACGAGAAGTAAGCAAATGGAGCCACAGGTTGCACTGATCAAGAAAGCGGCTGTGTGATCCTAGCAGAATTGCTTGAGTGGGAAGATGGTTTGTGAGCCAAAGCAAACAACACAACAATATGACCCAAGTGAGACATACCTATCTTGATGCAGGGTTGGAGCAAGCTGTTGCTCACCTGCTTGCAAAGCTGGGTCAATAGAGAGATCATCGAAGCCATGTTGATGTTGAGATGGCACAACATATGGCTGTGACGGGGTAAGCTTTATATTTGGATTACCATACATTCGAGTATCTTGAGAGAAAGCTGAAGGAGTTAAAAGATGAGGAATGTGGCCTAACAAAGGGGCAACTGGTGCCGGAGTTATAAGAGGAGGCGGCTGTGGAGGCAGTCTCACTGATGCAGCTGCCTTAGACTACTTGCCATAAATTCAAAGGTATGATGAATACAGATTTAATATGTCCTACCTTTCGCTTGTGAGGTCTTTTTGGCATTAGCGCCATTGGATTAACTGAAGGAGCATCTGTAGTTTCAGCTTGCACTGCTAAGCTCTGGAACTTTGGATTGACGCCACGAGTCCTGGGTAGAGATATGATGTTCTCTACATGCTCCAACTATATAATAGTGCCCCCTTGGCCTTGGGTGCTACGGCTTGATTGTCTGAGTGCCGGTTTAACTGTTTCAGACATGGTGGGCCTAAAGTCACTATTTGCCTGTTGGTATTGATCATTGGATTGATAGATCTGAAGACCTAGAAGACAATCAGAGTTCTCAGGAAGAATAGATAGAGGCACATGCATACCGGGAAAGGTCTCTGGGGTGAAAGGCATATGTGAATCAAAAGGGAGAGAACCAGAGTCGTACAACAGATGCAGCTCCCAGGACCTTATACGAACAGCTGTGGATGGTGAAAGAGATGGGTCTTTGAGAAAATAGAGGACAATGAGCGTGATTTTGAGAGTCCAGCTGCAACCAAACAATTGCAGCACTGGCATACTGCTAGTGTAATAGTGAGGTGAGTGGAAGGCTGTGGAACTACAAACGTTGCAACTAGGTCAAGGTTTCAACTGCAGCTGACTTCGCTAGGGTAAGTAAACAGATCTTCATTTCACATAGTAAGTACACGTATCCTACACTTTAGATATTTAACGTAGATGACAATGCTCTCGAGAAGAACATCCTTGAAAGGACCATCTCTGCGGCCTCGTGTACAATCCAACTTTTGAGCATTGTACTGCCAGCAAGGGTTTCTATCTGATGTATAATTTATTAATATGGCTGCAGGTGAGGAGATTGAACAGACGTTTGGTACCCTTTAGTATATTCTCCCATTGTCAACGAGTGGAGTGCTCGCTGATGTGACTTGTCGTTCTGTCCAGGCAATTGCGATCGTATACTGTGAGGTCGTGAGGCAGGTAACGTATTAAGTGTGTACGGAGGGCCCAGACAAAGATAGTACATATGTAATTAGGGGGCAGGAATGAGGGTGGATAGCCAGTGTCAATCTCGACAGTAATGAAGGTCTGCACCCAAGTCCGAGTCCCATGCTTGTTAACAAGAGATCCAGCATGTTCATGCCCGCCAAATAGCCACAGGTCATGGCGCTGCCCACGCAGAGGTACGGTGCACAGTGCTGTTCAGAGCAGCTCAAGACGAAAACGTGTATGGAGGAGGACTTTGTCCAGCAAGCGTCTAAGGTAGGGCATTCTCCAGGAGAGGGACATGAGAACAGGCACATCATGCAGCACATTCCGTGCCCCACGAAGGCCTATGCATGTGCCAGATATGATAGGATCCATGCCGTCGTCTCCTTCATCAGCAGGAGCAGTGTTTTCTTGTCCGAGTCACTGATCTTGCTGCCGAACCCTTTCTGATCGCCAAGCTATGCCTTGAGGCTGTAGACAAATGATGAGAGCGAGTTTAATGCCTCGGTGCATGCGTGGGAGGCTTTATCTTCAGAGGCGAAGTCTTTGGCTTCCTTAATCATGCACTCGATCTCTTCCTTAGAGAGACGGCCCTTTTCATTGGTGATCGTGATAGATTCGGATTTACCACTGTCAATTGGCAAGCTAAGTAGTGATCTGATTGAGAAGCGACTGTGGTACTTATATTCCCTTGTTGGCAGCAGAGACCTTCATGATACCATCTGCACCAACCTCGAAGGTGACCTTTTAGGAGACAAGTCAGCATCTTGCTGGAGTATATCAACGTAGCTGCACACCTCATCAATGTCCTTCTTCTTGACACCAGCATCCTTATGAACCTGCTTAACAGGCTTCATTGTCTTATAGAAGAGGTTCAAGTTTAGCTCCTCAAACTTGGTGTGAGTAAACAACTTAGAGAAGTCATTGCCATTTTTGAACACCTTGATTTCAATGTGGGTGCTCTGCTGCGAACTGAGATTGCACTTTGCCTTTTCAACCTCACACTTCAGTTTTCCCATGGCTCAGAGGCTAAAGGTCACATTAGTGCTGGTCTGCTTCTTATACTACTTAACGAGGTAGTCGATGACATGGTTGTCAAAGCCCTCACCACCAAGATGGGTGTCACCGGCTGTGGCCAATACCTCGAAGATGCCCTCATCGATGGATGGGAGGCAGACATCAAAAGTACCACCACCGAGATCTTAGACAATGATCTCAGACTCGCCACCTTTCTTGTCAAGGCTGTATGTAATAGCAGCAGCAGTGGGCTCGTTGATGATATGGAGGACAGTGAGACCAGTGATGACATCACTCATTTGACCTAGTGGATTGACGAGAACAGCATGTCGGTGACTATGGAGGAGCTCAAGGAAAAGCTCACTAAGGTGCAGGCGGTCGTGAACCCAATCACGAGCAAGATGTATGAGAGTGTGGGTACCAGATTGAGCTACAAGCCTGGTCTGGATGATGAGCAGGAGCCATTCCACTTGTACGACAAGCTTTAGTACTTGGTGTATACAATTTGGGTATTTTCAAAGTAATTATTAGAACAGATTTTTGCCCATCTAGAGGCCCCATTAAGAACTTGTCATCTCAATTGCATCAATGTCAACTAGAATGAACAGCCATTAGATTTTGAGTGAATGAAGTCATCTCCTTTTCACGCTCTTGCTTAATAGCCCAGTTTGCTAGGTATATGACATCACCTACCTCAACTATTGTCTTGAAAATTAAGTGCAGCTCGGATGGGCGGATGGTTGTGGGAGGGGAATACCAAGTGCCGTGTTGTATCAGCAGAAGATATTGCGAGGAGGATGTAATCCACTCGTTCACTCCTATCCAAACAGGAGCCCGGAGCACCACCACACATGAAGGACCTCCCTCGTCATGAATCATCCATGGTCAATATTGTGAAGAAAGAGGAAGACTCATGTATCTGCTATTCCCTGTGTGTATTGACAACATGATTGATCATTGGATGGCTTAACCATGGCTCTTCCTGCTGACAGCAGCCTTTGGATGACTGTCCAAATCATGACGTTGAAAGCTTGCGACAGAATCTGTAGGCGCATCAGTTGAAGTCTGGAACAAAGGAACCTAAAAGGATGAGATCAGTGTGGTGGGTCATATCCGGAGATAGTGATACACTTGCATCAGCTCAAAACATACATCTGGATATCCGAGTGCTTGATCAGAGGATGTAACATAGAACATTGAAGAGAACAGCAAGAAATGGCAGTGTGTTGAGTGTGGGATCAAGGCCTTGTGGATGCTGCGAGTTACAAACACGTTGTGATTATATAGATGTAAGCGGCCAGCACAGGGAGAGCTCACTAGCGACTCGTTCTCTACGATGCTCATGGCTCCTGAGTGCTCTTTCACATTTAGTTTGTCGTCTCTCATCGTTCTTTGCTACTCACGCAGCCCAGTTCACAATACAGTTCTTTAGCATGGCATGCTAGACTCAGGCACACCAGACTCAGGCGTGCCAGCCTCGACATTCACTACCTACTCTAAAACACCCTCATTGGTTTAGCTACCCAAGCTGCAGCAAGATGTTTAGCTCCCAGTTGGCAGTCGCACAGCATCTCAACAGCCGTTTTTCGGGCTGTATGACCTGGGCTGTCAACCTTGCTATGTGTGCTTCACTCAAATTATTGACTGCAACAGTGATCAATCCAGACACAAGACGTGATAGAGATATCAATATGGAGGAGCCGTTCAGCCCTGCAGCTGAACATGAATGGATGTATGATGCTGAGGATATCAATTTTACAGCACCAAATCATGTCCCTATCATACTCCCATCTTCTCATATCAATTCTGACTTCCCTCGTGCCAACACCGTCATCTGGGAAACCACCTCCTTGTCTTAAGCTCTAATTAGCCATAATGGATGCTATGCTGTACTAAATTGTGAAAGATTAGGATTAGACTTTTTTAGCTTACCCCCCCCCATAAACCTGATCTAATGAGACATGATTATGCTAAGCTATGCTAAATTATGATCATTTAGGGTTAGAGTTTATTAGGTCACACTCCCTCTAATTTGGATTGATCAAACATAAATGCACTTTAATTAGTGCTGATGAGAGCAAAATTAGGTGACAATTAGGCAAAGCATTATAATTTATTATCTATGATTACTTGTTATTATGGCTATGGAACATAATTAGGTCACAGCATCCACTGCGCAGCACCCGATCGTGAATGCAAGCAGAAACTAGCGGGGCAGGAAACAGGGAGCTTACTGGAACTTCTCTAGCACCTTGAGCACCTCGACGAGCTTGTCTAGCTCCTCCTCACCCTCTTCATCCTCATCGCCCGTGCTCTGCCGGGCCTAGCCAAACTCGAGTGTGTCCTCCTTGTCCAACTCGACGGTGTCGCCCTTGATGAACTCAAAGCATCCTAGCCTCTAACACTGTTTTGAGAACTGATTTGGCCTTCCATGCCGCGACAGACACCTCCGCAGTGTTATAATAGTGTTGCGATCGAGTGAAGAACAACGCTAGCTCGATGCTATCTCTCTCTGTTCCAAAGCCCTCACTCCAGATCAAAAACTGAAAGGTTCATTAGGCTTCATTGACATCACAGTGGTATCAATCAACTCACCATGGATGCTAGGTGTGGAGGAGAGCTCGTAGCAGGCCTTCCATCTGAGTCAAGATGCTCCAATGTAGCTTGTAATTAAGCAGGTGGCGAAGTTGAATTGAATTGATGAAGGTGAGTGGGAACAGGGGTAGATGCGGCTGGAGCAGGACTGCTCTGAACTGAGGGTGGTGACGAGAAGAATGAGCGATCGTAGGAATATCACGGGTGTGGTTGGAAAGGATGGGGACTGTCCTGATGATGATTGTGGGGTCGATGGATGCAGGTAGTATCAATTGGTGTTGGAAGCGGAACAAGCGGGTAGTCATTAGCACCAAACAAGCAATCACATAGTCGGAAAGGGTTGTTAGACTGCATTGTGGACTACGAGAGAGGTCAAGGGTGGCTGACACACTGTCAGAGATGTCGGCTGAGAAAAAAACCCTGAGGGGAAATAGAAGGCTTTATATCGGCACAACCACTGGGTGCATCAGCAAATCAGCAGAGTCATCAGCAAACTGGGAAGCGTCTGTACAGAGTACATGGGTGTCTAGCCAGATATCCCCAGATGACCTAAGCATCTAGGAGCATATGGGGCTCTGGGACTGGCTGGGACTGGTTACAGGTTTGCTGATGTGTTCATTCAAGCGCTCAGAGCCGCTCAGAGACGCTGGGAGTTTTGAAGTTTCAAACTGGAACCGACCAACCAAACCTTCCAGTATGAGCCACTAGATAGCTTGCAAGTACCACAACGGGCACACCTTGGGGACCATGACAAGGTAAGTCAAGGGATATGTACTGCTGACATCGATCATACTTTCAAGAGAAAATAGTCGTATCCCCTCCTCTGTGATTCTTGTACCTGATCACTGAGTGAAGCGCGATTCCACGCGACACCTGCTTCTATGTACCATCCGCAAAGTATACGACGGCGCGCTTGTTCAGCTCTCACGCGCACATACCACAAGAAGCTCAACATATTTGAGACTGCCACTGCCCCAGGGGCTTCTTGTGTCTCTAGGTGGCCGATGGTGCAAGTTTTGGGGATCACGTTGTGTTGAATCTGGAGATGTGTGACTGCGAGGGTGTGTAGTTCTCAAGTTGAGGTATTAGATGCTGAACAATATGGACAGGTAACTAGTCAACAGATGGGCGTGTTTCTTCGAGAAGTCTAGGTACGACCCTACGCTTGTAACAGACAATTAATGTGATTTTTTTGTGGTTACGTTCAGGTGTTGAATGGTGGGGAAGCTGGCTGATTTCAGTGTGGTGGCCATGCAGCAGCAAGATTCAATAAACAACATGTCCCGGTTATCATTACCTGCTCGATACCTTCAAATTGGCACGCGCTTCATAATAACGAACGCGCACACTTACTGAATCCTGCCAAGTTTAGTTAGGTCTCTAAGGTCGCGAAGGTCACTGACAAATTCACGACGCATCAGCTACGCCTGCCGATATTCCCACCCACAAGCGTCAGGTCTCCCTTTGCATAGTTCAACTCCGTCACATCATATATGATCACAAAGCTGTCTGGCCCGGTGCCTAATTTTAGGCTGTCAACTGCGCCGCAAAGCAACTCCTCGGAGTATGACATGTAAAGCCTACACGCCGACGAGTCAGGACAACAGCACTTCTCGTGAATCTAATTCAGTCGATTTTTTTATTTTGCATCATGAACAATTCATCATTCTCTAACTACAGATATTTCTCTCTCCCTCGCGCAGAATCCTATCTATGTTTCACTCAATGTTTTCATGACAAGATGATTTTCGACACTTATGTTTCACAATCTCAGGGCAATATGGCTAGGGCCTGTCCACCGTCCATCACTCAGTGTCTGCTGATGTTGGCGCAAGTGTGGTACCTTCTAGATTCTGAAAGCTAGCTCTAAATTCTCCATTCAACAATGATATGATACTCTCGCTTGGATTAGAACTATTTAATATACTGTGATATAAGTGTGTCTGTCTGTAAAACAGTTGACAAGAAATGCAGGACAATTCTCAAGGACATCTGTACTGCTCCATGAACGAGGAGCAACATGGCCGAACTTCAGAATGAGATGTACACTACAACAAATTTTACTAACGTTGATAACACTAGCTAGCTGTTTGCGCGCAGTTTCCCCGCTACTACCACCTATGGGTGTGAAAGAACGCTTGATGGTATGCATCTGGTGGTTGCTATCAGCGGTCCCGAACGGAGTAAACCACTCCACATATGTGAGATGGGATGGCATATCTATGTGAGATGGAATAGCTGCCTTCCTGGAACACTTGTTCAAGCTGAAAATGATTTGAACTTGCCCAACGTGATAACCTAGAGACGTGGTATTAGCTGATGACCAAGAATTGGAAGAGTAGTCTCGGCACCTGCGACGCCGGATTCTTTCCCATCTTTTTTGTCTATCAGAACAGTATCAAATCGACTCGAAACCTTTCGATTGCTCGAATCTTTATGCGCAGGGTGTACATGAACACAGTCGAGGGTTTTGGCGGCCTCTTCACATCCTTGAGTGTCTTCGTTCCAGAATTTGATCTTATAAAATACTGGAACGGTCTGGAAAGGGATGGAATAACGAGGAGCTAGAGCTCGAATTTGATGTACGGTGAGATTAGGATTTGAAGTCTTGAGGATAAACTCTGCGAGCGCCTGCCTAAAATCGACAGCCCCATAGAGGGAAGGAATATCATTGATCCTGACGGCCTTTTGACTGGGGAGCCGCGCAATCTTTATGCAAAGGTGACGTGGAATGGTGGGAGGCTTGAGAGTAGAGATCACTGGATGCCCCGAGAGACGCCACTGTACAAACAACGCGTGTCGCTGCATTTTCTCGCGGTGCTGCAACCATGTTGTCATTTGTGCATACTCGTCTTTGTGGTTGGTTGCACAATAAGTGTCTTTCGCGAGGTCAATATGAAGACGTTCCGAATATGCAGTGTCGTAGTTATCCGTAGTGCCGAAAAGGGTGATAGAAAGAATGTAGTGCATCAGCAAATGAAGCTTTGGAAGCTTGAAGCTTTTACGAATGCCAATCTCGAGGAAAATGTTCTTGTTAGCGTGGAAACGTGCGAGAGCCGCGTCAAGGTAGCCGAGTGTCGTCGAAGTGTGGGAAGGGTATTGTGTGATATAAACAAAATCCATGAGTGCATGGACAGCGCGAACAAGATGAACTGGAGACAACCCAACTTGAGAGGCAAGTTGATGATAATCCTGAGCAAAACACGGCAGATATCTTTGTGTTCTTGTCCCGTGACACGAGATAAGAGTGAAATCCCATTAGAAAAGAGTCGGACATTGTGATTTGGTGGAAGGCGTCGAAAGCGTGCGTCTACTTCAGCTTCGCCAAAGGCAGATGTGATCCAGGATATGACATGCTTGACCATCCCTTGATAAAGTTGATGTAAGTTATCCGGAGTGATCGACTGGAAAATATTTGTGAATGGGAGCTCGGCCCAGAATGAATGATAGACTGGCTTCAACCCGACGGCTTTACAAGACTCAATATACGCTGCTGGTTCGCGGTCAATAGACGTCAGGGCCTTGAGAGCCTCGTTTGAGCTCTGGTTCTTGCAGACAGCAGGCTCTCCAAGGTCTGTGGGAAGTACATGGCACTTCGGGCATTCAAAGTTCTTGCAACAAGCGACGAGTGTCTGTTCCAGATAGTCACCTACATAAGCAGCCAGTATGGGATGACATCGACGAACAATCCCATCACCTGAAGCTAGATTCATGCCATGTCTACCGACCCCTCGTATAGGCGCTAGCAACCGGCGCATGCATGCGTGAAATAGGTTAGCGGCTGCGCGCCGCCGAGTCTTCTTGTTCTTGATATGAGTGAGACGACAGGCCAGGAGATACCCGATAAGGATATAGGCACGACGAGATGGCTTGCGGCGGACTTCCTTAGGTATGTTTCCGATGGTAAGATATACAGGGTATGCGGACTTTCCTCGAAAGTCGGTCAGCTGCGTCTTGTCAGTCGAAATGATGAGGGGGATGACAGTTGCTCCCGGCTTCTGCTCCTCTAGGGTTTTCTGCGACAAGTCCGATGTTAACAAATATAAAAAAAAATCAACCCTTTTTATGCACTTGAACCCGCCACCACCATCTCCCGCTGTCAAGTTCATTGAACATCCTTACTGTGCTGGTGTTGTCGTCAACATACAGTTTCTTCGGAGCATACGTCATGATTGAGGCGAATTCGGGATCACTATACAGCGCTGAAATGCACTCTATCACATCACAAAAATAGGTTTCATAGCATTCGCCATCTACGACGATTTCGTGCCGCTTGAATGTGGGGCGATTGGGGAGTCGATTATCAATTATTTGATTGAGTTGCTTTGATGTTGTGAATGAAAGTCCGAGTTTTTCCTGCACCTAGAAACGGCCAAGCGATGAAATCAGATCCCGGAGAATCCTGGATCGAGAAATGGCCTACCTCTTCAATGTTCAAAAGTTCTGTTACAGCAGTAGATCCAGGCCCTCGCATCTTCGCCCAATGCGTGAATTCCCACTCTAATTTCGAAGCAAACAGCCACCATACATTGGGATTATTCAAGCCATCTATCAAGTCGCTGTACTTGTCGTAGTTTGACCGACCCTCATTCTTGACTGGAGCACCTGCTGCACCTGGAAATGGTACTATCGTGGGGTCATTCCACAACGGTTCTTCTGCCTGAGTCCGGTCATCGAGCGCACGCTGTTCATCTTCTTCCATAGGAATCTCTAAGGGGTTGGCTGGCTCGTCATCAATCACAGGTTGTTCCCAGTGTTTTTCCCCTTCGGCTTCCAGTTCGTCCTCATCCTCATCCTTGCCACTGTCAGGCAGTCCAGGGGATTCAGGTCGTGCCATGGCACTATCCTCATCTTTGGCGCTCCACCCGTCAAGACTGTCGTCCGCTGAGTGATGTTCTAAAAAAGCAGCCTGGATCTCTGTTGCTAGATGATTATTGTTGTGACCTGGATTATCAAAGAAATTAGAAGAGTAGCTAAAATTCCAGATCCGCGGAATTATTACCTTGAAAGTTTGCAAAAAAATTCTCGACGGCCATAGGATGACTTGGACCTGCTAGCCCTATATCGTTCATGATTTGTTGGCATCTTAGGTCCTTTGACTTTGCAAAGTGCTATGAAAGGCCACTGTGCGAAAGGCCCTGCTTTCCGCAACCTGGACAAAAATATATCATAATTGATGGTCTGGAAAGAGTGAGGTAAACGATGCCATGGAAATCTGGGTGAGAGTATTAGCACGTACAATGTCGAACTCCCGTGCAATGTTCGCAAAGTGTCCTGAACTTGGCAATGGTGCGTGAATCAAGAGAGATGGTCCCGGACTATACTGAAGATCAAATTTGTGGAAGATTTAAAAGGAGAGCGGGAGATGGCGTATCATTATCATCAACTACTCAGTCTTTATACTCACTACTCTATCAATCTTCTCCATCCCCCACGTTGACCGTGAAATCCATTATGATGGCAAATGCTACCAAGAAATCTATTTCCACGGCCCAGGTGGCTTTTGCAACACACATACACAAATGTCAGGGTAGGTATGGTCAGTGCGATCAACCAAGTACGGGAGCTCACATTCGCTTGTAGTAGCTGGATTGGAGGCCATGGATGTTGATCTCGAGCCGCCGCCGGCATCCCAAATTGGTAACCATTGTTGAAATCTTTTCAATTAGCTTGCTAACGCTTGCCTTGGCCTCAGCCTCAAGACCCACGCGAAAGGCAAAGACTAAAGCCTTGGAAGTAAACTGTACATTTTTATTGCAAATTCATGAATTTCGCTCCGCAATAACGAAATCTGACTTACACTGGCAGTTTGGCAACAGAGCTCTAGTAGAAGGGGCACGGCAAAACACCCTTTGTCTCCCACGCTGAGCGCCCCTGGTCCCATAGAAAAGAAGAGAAGGTCGGGTAAGCAAAAATTCACAGCGTCAGTTGGAAAATGCTCATACACCTAAATCTCAATCTGTTTCCTCTCACCTCTGCTGGCCATGTCTCAAACAGGTTGCCAGTCCCAGTCAAAGTCCGAGGCGAAGACGTCAGCTCAGGACACTATCAAAGGTGACACCAAAGTCGATGAACCAATTTCCAAGCAACATCCTCAGGCTCTAACACGTCAACCGAGTGTGTACTTCTCTAGGGGTCTGCCATACTAGTCCTGGCTTGTCTCTTCTTCAACTAATACTATACCTAGGTAAGCCAAGAAGATCTCGTCGCAAACCTCCATCCAAGAGTGCGGGTATGTCCCGCAAGCAGAAGGGAAAACAAAGAGAGCGCGGTGAGTCACTTGATCAAGGCTCTGACGATCCCTAACAAATTAACTGTGCAATTGAAAGATGAAGACGACATCATTGTCGTCGAGTCAGATCCGGAAAATTCATTAGAGAACTGTACTGATGACAAGCAGCGCCGTTCGAGCACCAATGAATCGGAGGTGACGGAGCATAGTGAGAATTGGGAGCAAGAGAATAAAGCTCAAACAGCGGAGAAGAAACCCAGGCTGAAAGATATGAAAGCGATGTTACGACAAATGAAGGTCGCTGTGAGATTCTCTATCAATCTTGTCCCATGCAAGCTGTGGCTAATCCTTATGCCAAATAGGTGCCGGAATGGGCTTCAGACATTGAGACTTGGAGCAGTGATGACGACGATACAATTATGAACATTGCTAGGAAAGGTGCGAAGGCCGCTGGAAGCAAGATCACTGCCACCGTGCGCAAGTCGGCCATGATCCCTGACGATGAGTTCAAACGCGAGAGTACGGACAGAGATGAAGTGCTCGACCAAGAAGCAAAGGCACCAATTCCCTCCTAACACCGTATGGCCGCCTTCGTAGCAAGAGCAAATACCTCAGTAAAGCCGAAGGAAACTCAAGCCTTTCAAGCGCCATTGAGTTTCCAGACCAATGATGCCAAAGTAGGCTGTCATCTCGGACGTGATTCGAATGACTGTGCGGTGTGGATTGCTTAGTTTTTGATCATTCGCAGATCTTAACGGGAAGATCATTCCACAGGCTTCTTCATCCATGGGAGCTATAAAGTCTCAGGCCACCAAGAACAATCTCAAGACCCATCCTCAAGCTCAACTGTCTAGTAATCGCAAACCTTCTTCTAAGTTAAAGGTGCGATATCGACTGCAGATGGTCATCACGTTGGGCCATCCTGATATACACTCACAGATGTCTGCAAACTCCATTGACGACACAGTTCTTGCACAAATTGTACCAAACGTCATGAATGAGAATGTTGGCCCCCCCAAAGAATGGCCGGCGGATACAGATATTGTCTTTCATCCTTCGGTAAAAGTCGCCTCTGTCAGCTTACAGACACCTACCATTCATAGGCTTATCACCGAAGCAACGACTCATCAGATACCCATCGTATTATGCTGGGACTACACATTTCCGGCTGCTGGAAGTGTCCAATACCAAGTGATGCGACAGGTCTTTGTCAAAGCTGCGAACGAGCTGAAGCTCGATGCCATCAAGAAGCGACTGGAATTGGACAGTGAATATGCCAATTTTTTGGCAGTGAGTGTACGTGCGCATGGGCAATCTGGATGATCTGGTTCTAATGTTTCTCCAGCAAAGTGGGCGCATTAGCAACTTTAGAGGGGCTTTGAAGGAAAAGGCCACCCTTATAATGCCCCATTCTTATAGGATCAAGAACTTGAAGCACACTGAGCAAGTTGCTCTGGTAAACAGTCTCCTCACCAAAGACAACTACATTTATGCCTATGAGGTGTGCCATGCTGACCAAAATCTTTTATTGATTTCTAATTCCTTTCGGCCTTCAGAGAGGAAGATTCATTGAGGAGAAGCCATATTGTAATGATGGCATCACCGACATCATACATGAGGCATTTTTTGGTACGAAGCCTATAACGCGATTCCGTCTTGTGCTGTTTTCCTCGAGCATCACCGAGGGGCCAGGATCGGAGGAGAAAGAATTGCCGGCGTCAATGGTCGCTCTGGCGACAACAACGGTATGTAATGATTCCAATCACTGAACCCTACCTCTTACTGATATCTAGTGCATAGGCTTTTGCTAGCTTACAGGAGCTTCAAAATAGCTTCTACAACCAGATACATTTTGACTCAGGAACATATGCGGGATACTATCTGGATCACTTGGCAACGTTGAATGAGATTAAGCGCCAGAATCCCAATCTCTATCACAAGCTAATGGCTTATCTTTTTCGAGTCACTAGGTTAGTTGATAGATGCATCTCCACTATTTCTGATAATTTAATCGCCCAAATGTAGCCAAAGTCTGCCCGATGAGCCCATGGATCCCACCGGCACACTGACTGAGATGGCAAACCCTCATGTAAAGGCAACAATCATTAGGATGGGGGACCAACTAGGTGCCTGGGCGGATCCAGTGGCCTGATATTGTGAGCACGGGTGATACTTTGCTTTCAACTCTTCTTGTCCACCTCCTTACATTTTTTGCATCATCCTGTCTTTCGAGCCATTTGTTCGTTTTCTCTATTCAAGTCACTTATCACTCCCAATGCTTTTTCAACTTGCTCGTTAACCAGTCCTTCTGTCTTCAAAATGGTACCTTTGCGTTCACTATCTGGTCATTTTCATGCTCATTATGCTTTTCTTTCATGTCACTCGTTTACCACTCTTGGCCTGTTTCACGTCGCTGCTTGTTTTCCTATTGCTTTTTTTCGCTGTGATTTGTTTTCATTGATCTTGGTATGTTACTCCACTCATTGATCTTGTTGTTAGCTAGCTTGCCAGCTGTCCACTCCTTTAGATATATATATATATAGTTTTATATCTCAGACTCTACTTTCGCTGATGGGGTTTTCTCAGATATTGTTTTTTGTTTACATTAGCAGAATCAACTGTCTAATCTTCGTCGTCCATCATCCATGGAGAATAGAGGTCCTCACCGAGTGTCATTTGTCTATCAAGCATGACAGGAAGTTCTTGCTAGTTCAAGCACCTCGCTCATTGAAGCAGGCGCGAATCGAACACAGACAGCGATATAGTACACGCAGCCAAGCGTGGACAAGGCCTATCCAGTCGGATGGACTTGAGAGTGCATGATGGTTTGGGAGTGACCTTGAATTTGAAGGAGTGCCAGAAAAAGGGTTGTGCGCTCCAGTCAAATATGCATGCGAGTTCGATGGTGGATCTTTTGAAAAAAAAAAAGCCCCAGCAAAGAAGGCTTTCTGTAGAGCAGATAGTCAATGTTTAATGGCAACAGGGAATCAACTATAAAGATCATGTCCCCTGTTGGACCGTGGCGCTCCATCAGGCAAGGGGATGTAAACTTATTTAAGGCTTGCTCGTGGAAGATGCATTTGAGCTACTTGAGGGAGGAAGACCAGAACAAGATCAGAGAGAGCATACAACGAAAGCGTACAAGGGCGTACTATGACATATATTATTCCTGGCACCTTTACTGTAGGTCCTAGGTTTGTCGACAATAATTTACCAAATTAGGAAAGTGTCCACTGTCACTCACGTATGTTTTTACACATGCTTTTAAGTCACGAGCTTGATGTGACCTTGTAAGCAAGGTAATGTGCACGGTCAACGATATTCAGAAATAGCACCTTCTACTCCACTGGCTCTGCAGAGTCAACGGGCGGTATGGTCAACCACAGTTCTAAGCCTTTCGTATTATACGTCTTTCCAGGACCGACCTCCTCTCGTCTGGAAATGACAAGGTTGAAATCAACCGCCTTATGGCGCCCGCCCTTGCGTTGCGTCCACAGCCTGGATGCTGATCTTGACATGGAAGATTGAGGCAGACACTTGTGAGGTCATCTGGTGTGTATGTTATCACATTCACGATAGAAGCTATCATGCCAGATTAAACAAATTATTAACAAATGGTGATAGCGGCAGACCGAAGAGTTTGGCATCTGAGACAAGGCCAAGTCAAGTCAAGGTCAAGAGACCATCTCAAAAGCTGAGCATGCCATTGGTCAGAAGAACAACAAGAGTTTGAGGAAGTTATTGTACGAGCTGAGGGGGAGGCAAGGAGTCTCTCCAGTACACCTTTTGTGTCTACCCTGGATCTGGTCAATCATCAGAACAAGTGTCTCCATATTTGGTAAGCATTGTTTTGTCTGTGTCGTTGAAGAGATGGGCATTCAGTATTCATGCAGAGGCTGGGATGGCCTTTTCAATAAATGTGGCAAGAATTTGAACTCACTTGTCACACTGAAGCTATCCCTGTATCATAAAGGTGAGTCTACTGGTATGCTTGCCATCATGGTGAAACTAATTTCCTTCTATTTCCAGCATTTGATCCGTCACCGCCGGAAATGCGAGCACCTCATCACCAAGCTTGTGCATCAGCATGATGTTACCCGCCAGCTCATTCAGCAAAAGGCAACCAACAATATGGCGTTCTCTTGGCTTTACCAGATGAGGTTTTATCTGGACCGTCTGGTTGAGAAAATATGAAGATCAACAACAGCATCGGTACAAATCATTTTCTATATCAGACTGTTCTTGAATACTGAATTTTGCATTCTCAGGTATATTCATTACCACTAACCTGAACTAAGCTGGCCGCTCTCAGTTGCCACCTAACTTGACCAAGCTCTTCAGGCCATGAGTTTCTGGTGCATCTACAATCTGACCTTATCTCTAAGTATGGCTATGACTCGTCCTGATCATGAGCTCATTGCTCAGGTGACGTTATTCTCACAAGGTTTCCGTACTGCAGAGTCCCTGGCCTCAAAGATCGTGCCCTTCTTCAAAATTTGGGATAAACAGCTATCACCTCATCCCCACTATGGCTTTGGTCTGCGTGCTTTGAAGGCAGTCCTCATTAGTGCTGGCATTCTGAAGTAGGAGCGCCTGCAAGTGGCTCGTGACTCCAGGGAGGCTGCGGATGTCGGAGGACTCAGATACCATATCGGAACAAGTAATTTTGCATCACGGAAACGATTGTGCCGAAGTTGGTGGCTGACGGCGTACTACTCTTGACAAGGTTCATCTGTTTAGGACATCATCCTCTGAATTCATCAATCTTAATTCAATCTTATCCGATGTTAACGGTCTGCTCACCGACATATTTCCAGGCACTCACCAACGCTTTGCGCAAACAGATTGGGAAGGTCTGCGAAGAACGTCGTCTTGTTCAAGGCAAGCATTGGGTATTGGGAATCTTGCAACTGTATTAGATCCAGAAGATCCAGAACGGTCTTATGATGGTTGGTTTATTGGGGAGTGGGAAGACAAGTGCTTGGCAAGTACTTTTGGCTGCGTTGGAGCGTCTGGACAGTGTTGAAGGAGTTGCATACATCATTGACCCCTAGGCCATGCATAAGGATGCTTTGTACGGCATGCTCGATCAAACAACACGCGAATGGAAGACGGACTCTTTACACACGTTCTGCAAAAGATCGTAGATGATGCCCATGGCGAAAGCGGGAAGAGGCATTGGATTATCTTTGATGGCAATGTCAATCCCAAGTGGGTAGAAAACTTAAACAGGTGTGTTCTAGCTTCAGACCGCAGCACCATCCTCAATATGTTTCCTAGTGTGTTGGACGATAACAAGCTCCTGGCGCTGCCCAACGGCAAGCGACTTAGTCTCCCCTCAAATGTCTGCATCCTGTTCGAGGTTGAGCACCTCCGCTATGCAACCTTTGCTACCGTCAGTTGTCGCGTTATGATCTGGTTCAGCGAAGACATCGTGGAGCCCTCCATGGTCTACTGCTAGTATCTTGACACCTTGGGGTCTGTCCCTCTTGACGCCAAAGATGACGATGAACTGGACACCCCTGGGCGGCACGCAGATGATGCGAACTCTGACACAACCAGTGCAAATACCATCACTCAGAAGCAAGTGGCCGGCATCCTTGAGCGATACTTCTCTGAAGGCGAGCTTGTTAGTGTTGCATTAGAATATGTGTCATTCATTGAGCATATCATAGACTTCACTATGACTCGCGCCCTCAACACTGGAAACTCCCTCCTTAACAAGACTGCTCGGAATATTCTTGAGTATAACATCCAGCATTCTGACTTCCCGCTGCCTCTTGAGCCGCTTGAACAATACGTTAGCAAGCGACTTCTGATTAGCATCATATGGGCTTTCTCTGGTGATGCCAGATTGGGCTTGCAGGCAGAATTAGGCGATTTTCTCAGCAAGCAGATAGGAATTGCTTGCCTGTATTAGGCCTTGGCAGCTCACTCCTTGATTTCGATATTCATGTCACAAACGGTTAATGGTCTGCTTGGGCAGCAAGGGTCCTGCAAATCAAAATTGAAGCTTAGGCCGTCACCACCTCTGATGTAATTGTTCCCACAACGGATACCATTTGACATGAGGAAGTTTTTATTTGTGGCTCTCAAAACACAAATCTCTTATACTCTGTGGTTCTCCCGGTTCTGGCAAGACGACGACTCTCTTCAGTGCTCTTCGCAAACTACCCGATATGGAAGTTGTGGGTCTGAACGTTTCCAGCGCAACGACTCTGGAGTTGACACTGAAGACCTTTGAGCAATATTGCCAGCATCGGAAAACTCCTAACAGCATCATTATGGCTCCTGTACAGCTAGGCCGATGACTCGTTGTTTTCTGCAATGAGATCAACCTACCGGCCACTGACAAGTACAGAACGCAGTGAGTTATCTTGTTCATCTGATAATTGGTCGAATTGGGTAGTTACTGGCGGACTTCCAACATGTCTTGGATCAAAACTGGAGTGCATTCAGTTCATCCGACAAACTGTACCAACACATAGGTGTGCCTCATTTTCAGGCCTGCCGCAGCGTCAATTAGTGCCCACGATGCCTTCTGACGTTTAATTTATATAGATGTCATTGAGCCAAATGCAGACCCGACTGGCCAGAGCATCGGCGGCCAGCTTATCATTGACAGCAAATATGAGTTCTTGGATTTGGATGAGTTGATCGTCAACCGTGTCCAGGCTGTGGTGTGACGTGTGGAGGAATTGATGGCCTTCGAGAAGTTCAAGCCTGGCTCTGAAGATGAGCTGCGTGAGTCCCGAGTCATTATCTATCGACCGCTATCTAAATGTGAGCCTTTTGTGCCTCACGTATTATTAGATCTTTTCCTTAAGAACTTTGTCACCGCCAATCTATCAAAGAGCGCGTATGGCTTTGGTCTGAACCGGAAGAAGCCCGGTCATTCTAGCCTGTGCTTCCTCACAAACAAGAACTCGACCATTCACACATGGGTTGGTGCATATTTCATCTAGCTCAGTGGATACCTTGCTGAGTCATTTGAACAGCCTGTCCGCATTGCACCAGAGGCATACTACCTGTTTGACATGGCGGCCACAGGTGTTCCGGAGCTGTGCAACGCATCCAAAGTGTGACAGATGCACAAGTTGCAGAGTCTGGGCGGGCCCGGCGGAGGTCGCACACCCTATGGCGGGCATACTCCAGGTCATACACCTTACAGCGGGCGCACTCCAGGTCATACACCGGCAGTGTCAGGGATGGCAATGCCAGGTCACATGTCGATGCGTCATGTTGGAGGGACGCCCAACCCTTATGTTGGACAGATGGTGAATCCTGCAGCAGCGGGGGCTGCGACACCCGCCATATATAATGGAGCACCCAGATTCAGAATGCTGATGCTGACACCATTCGGATACCACTCGCAGACATGCTGTCAAAACTGCGGAAAATTCAGTGTTTGCATTCACCGTTATCCTCTTTGTCTCCTGTGTTTAGCAGCATTGAGGATGTGCATGGGGGTATGTTGTAGTTCTTTGACAATGAAGCCGATGCTCCTGTGGTGGGATCAGGTGGGAGCATGGATCAAGCCCGCTAAGGCGCCACAAGGTGTATTTTTGCAGATATTTGTTTCTAGCACTATTAAAGAAATCCCCAAAGGCATAAGATTTGGTGAACTGGCCGACAGGTTCGACGAGACTCAGGTGCGTGATCTGTTTGACCGTCTTTTATGTTGCTCATATTCTTGATGTGTTTTATCGATGCTGGTCATGAAGCTTGCGCTCAAAGCGGACACAATGCTCCTGCAGAAGGCAGATTTGATTCTCGACAAAGAGCAAGAATGATTGCTCCAGGCCGTCTAGCACGCCCCTATGAAGAAGCCAAACTCTGTGTGATGGAAAATGGGTTCGTCTACTCTCCTATCTACATGATGACACTCCCATGACGTCTCATCCGCATTGCTGTCCCCCATAGATTTCTCACTCAAATGTGCCCGGACGTCTCTAGCCTAGAAATCTGCCGCCTCTCACCTTCTCACACCCGCACGCAGTCTTCCCCTGCGATCAGCCTGCACAACTCCTCCCGTGGGCTTCCCCTCGGCACGCTCGCATTCTCTGATACGGGCGACGCGCCTTTGCACTCCCCCTTGGCCCGACTGACACTAGCCCCCTCGCGCCTGGTGGGTACTGCTCCTTGACTCCACCGTCTACTTCTCCAGAGTGCATGCAGCGCACTGCGATCGATGTGCTCCACGTAGAAAAGCTGAAGCCGGAGCTAGGATGCTTTGAGTTCATCAAGGGCGGCACTGTCGAGTCAGACAAGGAGGACACACTCGAGTTTGGCTGGGCCCAGCAGAGCACGGGCAATGAGGATGAAGAGGGTGAGGAGGAGCTAGACAAGCTCGTCGAGGTGCTCAAGGTGCTAGAGAAGTTCCAGTAAGCTCCCTGTTTCCTGCCCCGCTGGTTTCTGCTTGCATTCATGATCGGGTGCCGCGCAGTGGACACTGTGACACAGGGAGCACCATGACGAAGACAACATGTGAAACTAGATGCTGCACAAGGATGCAATAGAGGGCAAACTGCGCACGAAGAGGCGTGACTGCCGCGTCGGGCTCGAGAACAGCAAGTCAGAGAGTGAGGATGAGGTGATGGTGCAGGCGTACGTGAAAGAGAGCAATGTAAGAAGATACTAATGCAGCACATGTTATGCTGGCTTTTAGCACTGATAAAGTAGTACCTATTATTTTCCACTGCTAATTAAAGGCTTCTTGGTATGAAATGAGTGCTAATATCATGAAATTAGAAACTACCTTTTCAGCCACAGAAAGAGGTAATTCCCGATTTGGAAACTTAATCCAATCCTTGCAATGTGTTGCTCCCAATTAGGAAATTAGGCACTTGTAGATGCTTTAGACACTTTTAGACACTTTTAGATACTATTAGATATAATCCAGAACTAATACAAGGGGGGGTTTTTCTAGATGAGAGCATGAATTTCTGGGATTCAGTATAGTTGCTGTTATGAACTGCTCGTTCGGTAACCCCAAGAGTAGGAGGTTCTTCCCTAGGTCACTCGTGGAGAAATAATGGAACGATGGTCTCAACTGTACGCATAGCACAGGCGCCAGAGATGTATTGCAATGTAGCAATGGGGAGGTAGATCGTAGATAGTATGAGGACTGCCTAAGAACAAAGAGAATAAACTGAAGATCCTCAGCCTACTCTATGGGCCTTTTATACTACTTTAGGAAATAGGGCGTAAGAACACCATATATGTATCTGTAGGTATTCCCTAAGTTGTCTCTCTCAATAATGACTACTCCTGTACTTCTCCGTTCATCTCCTTCCGGCCAGGAAAGACTAAGAGCTTGATGCCCGGTGTGTGAGTAGTTTGTAAGGCAGCATTCTATGCCCGCTGCAATATGGCTTGTGATACTCGACCAACGATGAGGTGATCCATTGGGAGTGGATGACCAAGGTTGTTATCTGTACCTTGTTGTATGCCTCACCTTGTGAGGCCGCTTGATATTTGTGATGATCATATTGGAATAGACCGCTGTTAAGGCCTGATAGAATGTAATCATAACAGTTGCCTGTATAGTTGTCTGGGAGTTTGACTTTTTCTTTTCTGGGTTGTACTATCACAGAAGGAGTGGTTATAGAAGCTGCTACTTGTCCTAACATGTTGGCAAGTGGTTGGTTTTAGGTATTGATCAGTGTTTGGTTTGGTGATGGGTTGGAGTCTGACTGTGAGGCAGATTCCTCTTGCTCCAGTTTGTTGGGGATTGCCAGTGCCAGATCTCTGTACTAGGGTAATAGAACCTAATGGTTCTCTATTTCATTCCAAAGAAACTCTTCCTCTATTCTGTCTGGGTAGGAAAAATAGTAATGCCCATTCCTGTGTGAGCAGTTATCATGGTTCAAGGGAACGTTTGTGTTGGTGTCTGTATAAAACCAAAGGTTCCCTTATTGTCAGATAGGGCAATTATTATGATGGAGTTGGTTGTTTGTTCATGTAGCACTAGGAGGATAGTCTCAGCCTAGGTCTTGCTCCAGGGTGTGTGCAATAACACTTTCTTAATGGGGGTCTATATCCCCACTAAGTAAGGTTGTGAGGGAAAATGTGGCAGCAAGCTAGAGTTTGAGCAAGGTAGGGGCAGAAAAGTCTATTCTAGTGTTATGAACTGCTCATTTGGTAACCCCAAGAGTAGGAGAAAGAGTGGAATAATGGTCTCAACTGTATAAACAGCATAAGAGCCAAGTGTATTATAGCAGTGGGCACATCTGGAAAACCACTCCCTTGTATTAAGCTCTAATTAGTTCTATTTATGCATAATTATGAAAGATTAGGATTAGACATTTTTAGCTTACCCTTCTCTAAACCTATTCTAATTAGACATAATTTTCCTAAATTAGGAATTATTAGGATTAATTATAACTTGAAATTTCGGAAAAATCATAATAATTCAAGCATCACAATTCTCATAGCCTTCTTATAGAGTCATGTCTATTAGAGCACTAGTTGAATACCTAAACACAGAATATACCTTATAACAAACTTGCCTTCTGCCAGAGTTGAACTAACAACCTTATATATGCAAGCACCCAGGACAGATGCTCTAGCCACTAAGCCACAAGGTCTAATATATGAACTCGGTAATCTAAATAAGTAGACATAATATAGGCAACCTCAATATCTCAAATTTTATTCAACATTTATCTTTCCTCTATCTAATAAATAAACAGGTCAATAAATACCTAAAAAGTCAGGCCTTTCAGGATTTAGTTTGAACACTACTAAAGAGATAATAAACCAATGGAAAATTGATAATACACTTTATATAGGATAAATAAATTATGGCACTTATACAATTTGGACTGAGAATGTGTAAAACTGTGATTGAGTGTAATATTCAATGGGACTCTACTAGTATAGACAATGCTACCTAAATTTGAAAATTTGATCAAAAACATGATTATGAATAATCAAGATCCAATAAGAGAGAGGGGTTTTCCAAATAGCCACTAGTGAGGTAAAGGGTGGGGACAAGAGTATATGTATGGCATGCCTATATATAAATAAGCACAAGATTGTTGGAGGTAATCTTAATATGCTTAATGCATATATTTCCTATATGGCAGGCAAATATATCATTCTGGCACCACATACCAATATGACTGTCTTTTCCACAGCCCAATAGCTAGAGGAAAATACCAAGTTTGAGCATTTTCTGTATAACAAGGCAATAAACAATATAAATAGTGCTAAAAATTGTAATATCAATAGTGATGATGATTGTGTGCTGCACAAGACAGTATTAGCCATTATACTAATAGACAAGGTCTATAAGGCTGCATATAGCATATCCCTAAGTCCAACCCACATATTGTGTCCTATAATGACTAGTAGCAGGCATTGGCTAACAATGACAACTTTAATGATCTTGTGTGCAAGGACAAGGTACCTAGGTCTTCATAGCCTCTTATGGCAGCTACCAAGCTGCCAATAATGTGGCTGGGGGCATTAATGCACATTTCTCTCTTTTTATATCCCTTATAAAAGCAGCTGGAAAGTCAGCAAAAGAGCTGCAAGATAATGGTATAGGCATATATGAAGGAGAGTAATATGCTGAAATAGTATAGAATGTGCCACATCTTTACCTTCGCACTGATAGAGCAGTAGTACTTACTATTTCCTACTGTTAATTAAAGACTTCTTAGTATTGAATTAGTGCTAATATCATGAAATTAGAAACCAATCCAATGCTCACAATGTGTTGCTCCCAATTAGGAAATAAAACACTTTTAGATACTATTAACACTTTTAGATACTTTAAGACACTATTAGATATAATCCGGAGCTAATACAAGGGGGTGTTTTTCCAGATGCAATAGAACAAAGTGGGCAGTATGAAGACTACAGTAGAGTGAGGACTGTGGTTTGAAGACTATAGTAAAATAAAGAGAATAGACTAAAGATACTTAGCCTATTTTATGGGCCTTTTATACTACTTTAGAAAAAGGGCATAAGAATCCTGTATGCATATACCATAGGTATTCTCCAAGTCATTACTTTCCAAGAATGACTACTCTTGCTCCTCCACTTTTCTCCTTCTAATGAGGAGGGCAAGGAGCTCTATGCCCATAAGTGTGTATGTAAGCCTCCATTGGCCATCTGCTGCAATAGGCCTGTGATACTTGACCAGCAATAGGTGGGTCTACTAGGAGTGGATAATCAAAGATAATACCTATACCTTAGTGTACACCCCATAGCATGAGGCTGCTTGATAGTTGTAATGATTGTATTAGCATAGACTGCCATAAAGGCCTAATAAGTCATAATCATAACAATAACAAGGGACTTACTGTTTCTACACAGACACCAACTAAGCAGCCTTACCAAACTACCCAAACTGCTCACTTAGGGAAAAATGACACTTTTTTTTAGGAGATAATAGAATAGAGACAGAGTGCATTTGGAACAAACTAGACAAATCCTGGGTACCACCACCCTAGTACAAAAGACTGGAACCAGTTATACTAAAGGATTTGGAACAGGAAGGGGAAACATCTAACTCCAACTACTTAGATATTCAAA